CGCCCGGCCCCCCGCTCCCGCCCGCGGCCCCCCGGGGGGGGGGACGGGGCGCTAAGGCCTGAGGGTCCCCCCCATGGGGGCTGGTCGGTCTCCAAGGTCAGCCTAGGCCAGGCCTGGGGGGGAGGGGGGGGCCTCTGGGACCCTCCCCTTGTCATTCTGATCAATCCCCCCATGATGTCACTGTGTGGTGATGCCACTGCGAGTGGCCTCGTGATGACATCATAGGCCACAGCATCCCAGCAACATCCCTGAGGGTGACGCCATGAGGCAGCCCTTATCACTGACGTCACTGGTGATAGCGGGCGGGGGGGGCGGGCTATCCCGTTGCTAGGAGGCAAGCACCCCGCCTCTGAGGAGAGACGGGCCGGGCGCGTTCGCGCCTCTTTTATCCCTAGCGACTGCCCGTAGCCAGGGCGCAGGCGGGGGACTGAACCGCGCCTGCGCTACACGGCAGCACGAAGCCAGGGCGGAAGACGACGGGGAGCGGGATTGAACAGCGCCTGCGCGGAGCGGGGAACCCGACCTCTACTGCGCCTGCGCAGTGCGGCACGGGGCGATGGAGTCGGACGGCACCTACGAGCCGGGCTTCGTGGGCATCCGCTTCTGCCAGGAGTGGTGCGGGGGGGCGATGGTGGGGCCTGGCGGGGCTGGGATTAGGGCTGTGGGGGAGGGTTATCGGGGGGCTGGTTGGGGGGAGACCCTGCCCCGCTGGGAGGTGGCGCCCAGCGTGCGGCCCCGGGGGGGGGGGCAGCCGGGACTCAGCATACCCCCCCCCCGCAGCAACAACATGCTGTACCCCAAGGAGGACAAGGAGAACCGGATCCTGCTGTACGCGGTGAGCGGCGGGGGGGGGGCCGTGGTGCAGTCGCACCCCACTTGCACTCCTGCTCCATCCAGACATTGCAGCCGGCCGCCTGGGAGGTGCGGTGGCATTTCTATCCCGGCAGTGCGGGGGGGGGAGTCCTTGACGTCGCGGCTCGCTGGATTCCTGCCGCTCTCTTCGCTCCACAGGTGTGGGCCAGGGCCACCCTCTCCCTGGGGCTGGTCTTGGTGTCTCGCGGCTCATAAAAACCTCCCGCCCCGTCCGTCTCCGCCCTCCCCCCGGTCCCCGGCGCGGGCAGGTCTGGTTTTGGACGCGGGAGGTGTCGCTGGTGACGTTACCGCCACGTGTGAAACGGCACCGACTCTTCTGCGGTTAGAAAGAGGCTAGGGGCTGTAGCGCTGCGCTGCGCTGGGGCTGCGTTATTCAGTTTAAGATGAAAGAAAAGACCGGAACGAGCGCTGGGCTGTGAAATAGGAGCTTCGTGACCAGGAGCAGCAAACAGACAGCGAGGACAGGCTAATTTGGGAGAACAAAGGGTGGCTCACTGGTGGAACATCGAGCTCGTTAAGAAGGAGAGGGTCATTAACGCCCGTGGAGCGAGGCGCTCAGAAGGGATTGGGTCGACGACAGTGAACTGCGAGGTCGAGTCCCTCGGTGCTGCCCGACCGGGCACGTTCCCTGCGGCCACGCAGATTCGGGGCTCAGCTCTCTCTCTCTTCCCCCAGTGCCGAAACTGCGATTACCAGCAGGAGGCCGACAACAGCTGCATCTACGTCAATAAGATCACGCACGAAGTGGAGTGAGTGTGGGCGAGAGCGCCCTCCCCTGCCCCGGCACAGCTCCCTGAGCCCGACGCGGGCGCGGCGGCCGAGGGAGCCGGGTTGGGAGCCGGCGTGGTGCGGGTTCGCTCGCCGGGAGGATGGCGTTGGGAGCCGGGAGGCTGCAGTGCTGTGCTGTGGGTGGGAGCGGGTGAGCCGGGCGGAGCCGGGCGCTGGGGAACAGGCCCAGGGAACCCCGCGGCGCCCTCCTCGTGTGATATCTTGCATCAAAACTGGGCCCTTCTCTTGAAAGATCCCGCTTGGTCGAGTTGGGAGACTGGGTGTCTAATTCCTTTGGCCCCGTGCGAGCTCCGAGCCCCTTTTAACCTTGCCTTTCAATTGCAGCGAACTGACCCAAATCATCGCTGACGTGTCCCAGGACCCCACGCTGCCCCGGACGGAGGATCACCCCTGTCAGAAGTGAGTCTCCGAGCATCCGAGAGCCCTTGCAACCCGCACGCTTGTGACCTGCCCCGGAGCCGAGGGTTGTGCTAGAAGCGAAAGCTTAAAATCGGCAGCATCTGAATCGTGGGAGCAGTGTCGGTGGAGGAGCTCTGTGCAGGGGCCGTGTGGCGTCCCTCCAAAACCTGCGCCTTTTTCTGCCCCCGCGGCCCCTCTCGGGGGGGGGGGGGGGTCCCCCGCGTTGGTGGAAATCGGGTTATCGCCTGAACATCTCAAGAGCTCTTTTAATAGAATCAAGCCGTTAGGGGGCCAGGATCAGCCCTGTCCACTTCGTCCTAGATGAGGCAGGCCTCAGCCTCGTTATGGCTCCGGGCTTTCACTTGTTTCTTGGCTACAGCAGAATCGCGGGGCAAGTCTTCTGTGGCAGAGAACGCGGCAAGTCCCCGGCCGGGCAGGAGGGTTTGGACACTTCAGAGTCTTGGAGGAAACCTGTGGGTTGCTCTTGTGGTCTGGCTGTGGTCAGACCCACTGCCTCTCCCTTCTAGCACCCGCGCCCTGCCGCCGTGTGACACAGGCCTGTCCGTCACCTGAATTTCTGTGACCTCTGCCCAGCGGCCGCCAGACCCCCCCCACAGAGATCCACGCTCGGTTGTCAGCGCCCTCCCTCGCCATCTCCGCCCTGCTTGGCTTCCATCAGCTGCTTTGCTTCTAGGCTCCCGCGGGCTTTGGCTGCAAGTCCTGCCCGGTCGGCTCGGACCTGGCGCCCCCGACCTGCTGCTGATCTCGCCCTTCTCTTCCAGGTGTGGACACAAGGAAGCCGTGTTTTTCCAGTCTCACAGTGCACGAGCTGAGGTAAAGCGGGTGTGGGGGGAGCGCGTGGGGGTCTCTTCTGGGCGGTGGGTCCGCTTTTGCTCTGAATCGGGTGCTTAAGAAAAGGCTGTCCAGTTTCTGAGAGGCCAGGCTGTGCCCTCCCTCCAAGCCGTGGGCTTCCTGGTTGCAGCGTGGCACCCCCAGGAAGCAGGAGGGAAGGGGGAGGCAAGACGTGGGTAGCAGCAGACACCAGAGCCGGTGGGGGCCCGTGAGCTGCAGTACATCCGTGTAGGCCCCGGCTGGAAGGTGAAGCTCCGTTGCCTTCTAGCCACGATTCCTTCTCAGTCGCCGCGTCCTCCGGTCTCCTAGGACGCCATGAGGCTGTACTACGTGTGCACCGCTCCCCACTGCGGCCACCGCTGGACCGAGTAGACGGCTGGCGTTGGAAGGCAGCGGTCTTCATCGTCTGAATCTCCGGGTCCCTCGTGGAGCGCCCTCGGCACGCTTCTCGGACTTGAGTTGGGTGCATTTAGTTAATTAAAAGGTTTTCTATTTTTTCACGTGACGCTGGTGTTTCTACGGCCTGTTCTGAGGCTGCATCTCGGCGTCCTCTGGGCTGGGAAGGGGCCTCAGCAATACGCTCCCTGCATCGCCTGTAGTCGACTGGGTTCTTCCGTCGCGGGTTCAGCTACTGCAGGCTGGCTTTCTACCCAGGGTAAGAGCGTACAAATGGACAGCAGACACGCTGTGAATTTCTGCTCCCCTTTTACCCCCCTATAGCTGGTCCATGTGCATTTACTCTCCGAAGCCCAGGCTCCTGGGGTGGGGGGGCATCTAACAGCCCCAAAGCTGCCCCGTTCTCTGTATAGTGCGTGTGGCCTGGGCTGGCCTCTCAAGGGGTCGAAGCAGTAGAAACTCAGCCATGAAAGCAACTTAGCTTTGGATGGGAACAAAGCATGGATCTGACTTGAAATGGGGACCGCCGGATGCCCTGTTTTTGGCAGGAGGTGGAGTAGCTGGAGACGCTTATAAAAGCCATGAGCAGGCAAGCAGAACCATTCCTTCGGCCTTTCTACCATATTTTCCTAGCGTACTATGTGCATCATTCCCCCCCCCCCCAAGAAATATCAGGCCTTCAAAATTGGAGGAAGCTGTACTTGCTGCCCCCCACCCCCCAAATAGAAGCATGGAGACACTGTGCAGCAAGACAGCTGCCAGCTTCTCCGGGGCAAGGTGGGGGTGGGGCCTGGTGTTGTCCTCCCAGCTGTTCTCAAATTGGTGATGGGTTTCAGCCGAGCGGACGAAGCCTGTTCGAGATGAGTGTGGGTGCGAAGGGGTGAACGTGGATTTCACCCCCCGCCCGCTGGCCCAGGAAGCAGCAGGCAGCCCTCCCTCCCCCAGCGCCGCGCCGCGCCGCGCCCCCAGGCTCCTGTTCTGCTGCATTCTGAACCAGCGTCGCCAAGAGAGGGTGGGTCTTGGCAGCGTGTGATTTCATAGACATAGACCTTCGAGCTGGAAGGGACCTTGGGAGATCATCGAGTCCAGCCCCCGCCCCAGGGGCAGCAAGTCAGCTGGGATCATAGGATCCCAGCAAGATAAACATCCAAATGTGTCTTGAGGGCATTCAGAGTAGGTGCGTGAACCACCTCCGGCGGCAGGCTGTTCCAGGGACCTTGGGGGCTCGGACAGGAAAGAAATTCTTCCTTTCGTCCAGCCTGAAACAGCCAAACACCCCTGATAAACTTATAGGTGGCCACCAGATCGCCCCGAGCCTGTGCTTTTCCAGGCTGAAGAGTCCCGTGGCTCTCGGCCTCTCATCATAAGGCCTGCTTCCCTGACCTCTGACCATGTGCGTGGCTCTTCTCTGCACCCTCAAGCTTCTCCACGTCCTTCCTGAATTGTGGAGCCCAGAACCGGACGCAGTACTCCAGCCGCGGCCTCACCACAGCTGAGTACAGGGGGAGAATGACGCCCCAGGATTTGCTTGAGAAGCATCGATGGATGCAAAAGCCAGCGTTTTGCTCATTTTACTGGCCGCAGCATCGCTGTAACAGGTACACGATCTGGGCCGCCCTTAATGTGGCCCACACACCTGGCTCTGGGGCAACCGCCTGCCATGCCTTGTTGTTAATTAATTAATCGGTGTTAATTAGCAGGAGGCTGCCCTGGTACTGCCCCGCTGCCAGGGGGCGCTATCTGCGGCTCCTTTCCTCCCCAGTACCGCAGCCCAAGCCTCGCAGATGTTAACTCAGGTCTATCCCTGTCTTGGCCCCTTCCTCTTCTCTCTGGGCCTTCTCAAGTGTTGCTAATGCCCTCTCCTGGGGCTCCCTGTGCCCAACTTGGGCTTCCTAGTGATGCTGCCCCCCCTATCTGGGGCTCGCCGTGCCCACACTTGGGCTTCTTAATAGCGTTGCCCCCGCCTGGGGCGCTGTGCCCACACTTGGGCTGGGGTCCTCACCCCTGCTGTGAGTCCCCTACGAGGCCTCCTCCCACCCCTAATAGCCTCACCCAAACCACCGGTCTTGTAACAACCCTGGGCTGTCACATAAATTGAAGCCGCCTGGCTAAAACAACATTGCTGCAGCCTCGAGAGCTGCCATACGCTGTACCTGCGGTCAGGCTTCTTCCCGTAGCCCGGCTTAGGGAGCTCCTGCCTCTCTGGCTGCGGGCAGGGGACTGCCTCCGGCCTCTGCTCCTGGGCTTTATAAGGGTCAAGCCCTGCCCCTTCTGGTCAGCTGACCTTCCCTGGTTGCCCCGGCAACCCGCAGCTGGGCTCCTTCCTGAGCAGGTTCCCCTCCTCAGGCGCAGCGCACCTCCGTGCCCTGTGACAATCGCGCGGCAGGCTCGTGTCCATCCTGTGGTCAGTCCTGACCCCCAAGCCTCTTTCTGCCATCGTGCCAGCCGGCGCAGCACTGCCCAGCCTATACCAGGCTCGTGTCCATCCTGTGGTCAGTCCTGACCCCCAAGTCCCTTTTGTGCATAGTGCCAGCCAGCGCAGCACTGCCCAGCCTGTACGCGTGCTGCGGGTTTTCCCTCCCAAGGTGGAGAGCCGTGCATTTTTCGGTGTTGAACACCATCAGGCTCTCGTCCGCCCGTTTCATGAGCCTGTCCAGGGCAGCCTGGATCGCCCTCCTGTCCTCACGTGTGGACGCTTTGCCCCAAAGCTTGGTGTCATCGGTGAACTTGGCCAGCCCGCTCCTGACTCCAATGTCCACATCATTAATGAAGATGTTAAATAGTGTAGGCCCGAGGACAGAGCCTTGAGGGACCCCACTGGTCACCACCTGCCACGATGACTGGCTTGTGTCAAACACCCCCCCGGGTCCAGCCACGATTCCCAGCCAGCGGATCGTGGTGAGGCCGAGGCCGCAGTTGGCCAGTTTCGCCAAGAGGTGATCGTGGGACACCAGATCGAAGGCTTTTTTTAAAGTCAAGATATATGACATCAATCTCTTCTCCCTTGTCCAGGCGATCGGTCGCCTGGTCGTAGAAGGAAATGAGATTGGTCAGGCACGACCTACCTGCGACAAACCCGTGCTGGCCATCCCTCAGGATGCTGCCGTCAGACAGTCTGTTAAGAACGGCCTCTTTGATAATCTTTTCCAAGACCTTCCCCGGGATAGCGGTCAGGCTGACGGGCCGGCAGTTTGCCAGATCCACTTCCCTCCCTGCCTTGAAGACAGGCCCCACATTGCCCTTCTTCCAGTCTTCGGGCACTTCACCAGAGCGCCAGGAGCTCTCGAAGACCCGTGCCAGGGCTGGGCTATGATGCTCGCCAGCTCCTTGAGCACCCTGGGGTGATACATGAGAAAATAAGGTACTCAACAGAGATCTGTATTTAACTACAGGGCAGGAAATAGCATTTCCTTATCATTAGGCAAAGCATGTATTACTGCATCACTGACGACACCGGTTGCATCACGCCCCTGCCCTGCAGTCGCAGGCGTGGGGAAGAGTTCTTGCAAACCAGCCACGTGCATAATTTCTATTTACACCTTTGAAAATCTTCCCCCAGGTGCCTCCTTCAACCTCAGCACCTCTTGCACTTAGCAGACGGCTCAAGCCAGCACATAACCAATGCCCAGTTCATAGAAAATTCAGGTTGAAGGGAGCTCAGGAGGTCACTAGTCCAACCCCCTGCTCCACGCAGGACCAGCCCCGGCTACATCATCCCAGCCAGGGCTTTGTCTACCCGGGTCTTCAACACCTCCAAGGATGGAGAGTCCACCACCTCTCTGGGTAACTTGTTCCAGTGCTCTACTATTCTCCTAGTGAGAAAATTCTTCCTAATATCCAACCTCAACTTCCCTTGCTGCAGCTTGAGCCCATTGCTCCTTCTGCCATCTGCCCCCACTGAGACCAGCCCAGCCCCATCCTCTTTGCAGCCCCCCTGCAGGGAGGTGAAGGCTGCTGTTCAATCCCCCTCGGTCTTCTCTTCTGCAGACTCAATCAGCCCCGGTCCCTCAGCCTTTCCTCACAATGTCCCCTAGACCCCCAACCCTTTTTGTTGCCCTCCGCTGGACTCTCCCCTTTGTCCACGTCCTTTTGGTAGCGGGGGCCCCACGACTGGACCCAGTTCTCAGCACCTAGGTCACAAGCCGCGCAAGCGGGGGGGCTCTGCAGAGGTCAGAGTCCAAGACCGTGCTCCGGGTACTATCGGCCCTGTCCGAATCCTCCTAGACCAGAACAAACCTTCTTGCTTGAAAACTATCGGGCCCCAAAACCCAGAGAACACCTCTGCTTGCTCTGGGTAAAGCCCAGGGCTCTGCTAACGTCCTGCCACCGCAGGGCAAGACCCTGAGTAGGGGGACAAGACCCTCCAGGTTTTAGTCCCAGCAGGAGCATGAGCACAGCACAAACCCAATCTCCAGCCCCGACAGCTCGGAGAGCCGCTGTAGCAACAGGAGGGGAAAAAAATCCCTTCCCAGGCCCGTGTGGCAACCAGCGAAGCCCAGAAGCCTGGGAGAGCCAGACCCTCCCCTCCGCCCCGCAGACACGGTGCCTGTTAGGACACTGGATTCCTCCCGGGACAAAGCCGTTTATTCCAGGAACCTACACAAGTACAAACCCACTGTCCCACTTTAAGCGCCCGTGAAGTATCCAGGAGAACAGATCGCGACTAATTCCAGGTACCTGCTATTCTCTCCAAGAGGGGAGGGGGCTCCCATCACAAAATCCTGGAGCTGTGGGGCTGGAAGGGACCCCCTGCCTGAGGCGGGGCCAGCCCTCTCCGAACCAGCCCAGCCAAGGGTCTGTTCAACCTGCCCCTTGACACCTCTGGGGATGGGGACTCTGCCACCGCCCTGCGCAGCCAATGCTCGATGGTGCTCAGAGTCGGGACGTGCCTCCTCTCCAGCCTCAGTTTCCCCTGCTGCAGCTTAAACCCATTGCTCTCAGTCCTGTCCCTGATGGGCAGAGAAAAAAACCCATCTCCACCCTCTCTGTCATCACCCCAAGGCTGGTAAAAATGCCCCCTCGGTCTCTTCTCCAGACTCAATCCCCCTGAGCTCTGCCAGCTTTCCCCCTCAGCCCCTGGTCATTTTTGTCTCCCGGACTCTTTGCAACCCATGCACCTCCACCTTGAAGGGTAGGGAGAAGGGCTCGGGGTCAAACTGGCACCCTAGCTGGGGTCAGGAAGGAATTTTACCCCATGGTCAGACTGAGGCGGATGGAAGAGGGGGTTGCCTTCCTCTGTAGCAGGGAGCCTGGCCCTCTACCTAGGATCTCGAGTACTGCCAGCCCTTTGAAGGAGCAGCACATTAGCTGCCATAGTTGCCCTGCTTTACCAGGGCACATCTACGCTGCATTGGGGTCGATACGAGTCTGATGCAGAGGTCAGATGAGGGCTGGTTTGGACGGGGCTGACCCTGCCTCCGGGTCAGCCCAGAGGGCTGACAGCTCCCGCTGCCCCGTTCCTCCAAAACTGTGTCCGGTCCCCTGGTGAATCTGGCTGAACTCTCCTGCCTGGGAGCCACAAGCTCCCCCCTTCCATCCCACACCGGGGGAAAAAAAATGGTCTTTGTGCTCGTTTTAAACTGACGACCCGCTCGTTCCATTTCGTGACCCCGAGTTTCGGGGCAGGGCAGCACCCCCCCCCGCTACCCTAGCTTCAAGCGTAGAAGCCACTGGGATAAAGCAGGAACCGGAGGCTGCCGGGGGGGGGCCCTGCCCGCTTGTGGGGCATCACGGGGCCGGTGGGGTGGGCGCGGCGCAGGTGGCCGTGGTAGTCGGGCCCGGCGGTGCAGGTGAAGCCGCAGGCCTCGCACACGTACAGCTTGGCGCGCCGCTCCCGGTAGCCGTAGGCCTGGGGCTGCCCGTGGATCTTGCGCAGGTGGGACTCCAGAGAGCAGCGCTGCGTGAAGGCCTTCGCGCACAGGTGGCAGCGGTAGGGCCTGATGCCTGCGGAGGTGGGGAGAGGAGGGGGAACGGGGTCAGTGGTGTGGGTGCCCCACCTGCCCAGGGGGAGGCTGACATGACCCAGCTGCAGACCCAACTCACACCGTCCTGGCTCCCAACACCCATCTCCCTCCGCCCGTCCTTGCTACCGACAGATCGCCCCTTCTTACGCAGCCGCAGGAAGACCCCAGGAGTCCAGGCTCTTATGGGCCTCACCGGCTCTGCCTCTGCTTAATACGTGGTCCCCCTCTCAGCTGGGGGCAAGGACCCAGCAGTCCCGACTCCTACGGCTCCCCATCCCCTGCTCGCTGGACGGCCCTCCTCTGCCCCGACCAGGGGGAAGGACTCGGGTGTTCGAGCCCCTGGGCCTCACCGGTGTGCGTCCGCATGTGCCTCTTGAGGTCAAAGGTGTCGTTGAAGCCCTTCGTGCAGCACGGGCACCGGTGCCGCTTGACGGGGCTGTGGCACTTGGCGTGGCGGGTCAGCAGGCGCTGGAGGGGGAAGGCCTTGGTGCACACCCCGCACCGGAAGTCCCCGCGCCATTGGGGGCTGCTGTCCTGCTGGGAGAGAGAAGGGGGCAGGATGTAGCCTTTGGGGTAGTGCCAGGGGCAGATCTGGGGGGGCGGCATGGTGCAGTTGCACCCCTGTTTGATTCCAGCACCACACGGGAGCCCTGGAGAGAGGTGCTCTCCCAGGCTATGCCACTGCCCTGCTGGGGGCCCCGGGGCAAGTCAGTGCTCCTTGTCTCAGTCCACCCCCCATGTAAGAAACAGGGAAACTGAGGCAGAGTTGCAGAGTCAAAATCTCTGGCTGAAAGGCACCACGTGACTGCAAACCCAGCATCCTGGCGGTCACAATTCTAGCTCCCTGCAATCCCTTCCCGGGTGGCTTCAGCCAGGGACAGACTTCACTCCCCACCCGGCTGTCACCAGCTGCCCTATCCTACCCCAGAGGCAGCTGCATCCTAGCCAGCGAGTGGGAAGCTCTGGGCAAAATGCTTTTCGGCTGAAAGGTGCTGGAGCAGGGGGGCGCTTGGCCCTCACAAGCCCCGGAGGGCAATTCCCCTCCCAAACACCGAGCTTCCAGACCTCAGCTCTAACCCCCTAGACCCCACTCCCCTCCCAGAGCCCGCACAGGCCCCAGGCGTCCGGGCCCACGGCTCCACCCAGGCCTGACCTTTGCTAGAGGCTTGTCCGAAGCTTCGGAGGTCGGCACAACGGGACCAGGCCTCCGGCTGTTGCTTTCTCCTGCCTCATCCCAGATGCTCCTGTCCTGAGCGAGGGTCCCGGAGAACAGGCTGAGCCCTGTGAAGGAGAGCCCAGCTGAGGCAAAGGAGCCCCCAGACCGTACTGGGGACTCCTGCCCTGAGACCTGGGTGTTTTGGGTGGGGCGGGGCGGAGGGGCAGTGGGTAAGGGATCAATGAGGGGGTGGCGTGTACAGGTGATGGGATACAGGGGAGCAGGGGTGGTTATGGAGGGGGTGTGGCGGGGGTCTGGGGGCAGGTGTGACCTGGACAAACCACCCATCACCCCTGGATCTAGACAGGTCCCAGGGACTTGCCTCTCTTCAACCCACTTGCCTGGGGTTAGGCCCCCACCCCGATTGAGATGCCAGCCTGGCCGCTGCCCTGGGAAACACCGCCCCCCGCCCTTCTTCCCCACCCTAGGTCTGCCCCAGCTGGGCGTAACGCCCGGGGAAGTGGGGCACCTACCTGGGACGTAGGCATCGCCCCGGAGACAGTCCACCAGCGCTCCCCAGTCCCGAGATCCCAGCACGGGCGCCCGCCGCCTTCTCACCAGGAAAGCCCTGGGCATGGCAGAGCCCTACAGACCAGCCTGGGCGAGACTCCAGGCAAACGCGGTGTCTACGCGGGCAGGCAGCGCTGCGGGGCCTTGCGATCGCGAGCCCGGGACCCGCGTGGAGCACCGTCAACCTCCGAGCTCTCCCGGCAGCGAGAGGGTCCTTGTGCTGCCCGCCGGGAGGTACCGCTGTCACGCCAGGGACGCGGGAGAACTCTGCACCCGTCCCTCCCGCTCTAGCCACTACCCCACAACACCGCTCAGGCTCCTCATCGCCCGGGTCTAACCCAGGAAAGCGCAGAGCAAGGAAAAACCCCGAGCCCTAGACATGCTCTGCCTGTCTCACCCTCCCCTGGCAGGTGGGGAAACTGAGGCAGGGAGTCTATTGCATCTGCTCCAAATCACACAGCACAGTGGCGGTCGGGGGGAAAGCTGGCTGTAAAGCCCCAGCACCTAGCTCCAGGCCCCTCCCAGGCAAATCTCATCCTGCGACTCCGTGCCCAGCCACTTTATACGCGCAGATTTGAATGGCCCGGGCGGGCTGTGAATAGGGGCCTCGGCGCTTTGCATATGCTGTACCCTGCACTGCAAACACCGCCACGGCCTCCATCCTCTTCATGCAAATCTCCGTGCAGCGGGGCGGACGGTTACCTCCCTTTGTCGGCCGGCTTGGTTCAAACCCGGCTAAGTGCTAAGTGCGGTTCCCTGGGCGCAGGACCCCCACTGGGTCTGCTGCGGTGTTTCTCAGGCTTGTCCTGGGGTCTAAAGCGACTCAGTGGCAGAGCCGAGATATGAACCCAAAAAGCTCATGCTCTCACTACTGGGCCGCCCTTCCTTGACCTCCAGCTGAGCCAGGTTGTAGTCGGCAAAACCTCGATACAAGGACGGTCATCCAGTAGGTCGGGGAAGAACGCATGTGGAACGTGGGCGACTTACCATCACCATCTCAGGAGCCTGGAGGGATATCACCAACGAGGCCCTTGGAAAATCCAATGGGAAGGTGGATGTACGAACACTCGCGTCCTTACCAAAGCCAACGTTACCAGCACGGAGCCGGCGATTCTCAAGCACCAACTCGACTGGACCGGCTGCCACATGTGGGCGGCCGGCACCTCTCACGCACCACCTCGACTGGACGGGCTGCTACATGTGGGCGCCCGACACTCAAAACGAGCGCTTTACTCCCAGCTTGAGACCCAGCGGTGGCTGGAGGCGTCGAAGGCACGGCGTCGAGAGCTGCGAGGAGCTGGCTGCCGAAGGCACCGCAACCCCAACCAAGCGGCAGGCTGCTTCGAGGGAGAGCGCGTTGCCCTCACAGCACAGAAGAGCGAGCAGAGGAAGGAAGAAGTCGAGGAATGCCTCCCCCCTGTGAAAAGACCTGCAACTCCCCGGGTGGATCTACGGCTCGAGGGCTGGACTCAATGAGCCATGGCAGAAATCACCCTCCAACTGAGGGATTGCCGATGGAGGCAGGGAAGCCGGCGGCGACGAAGAGGTCCATCTGACTTCCACCTGTTTGACTGAAGACAAGGCAAATAGTTCTGGAAGGAAGGAGGCATCGGTTCATGGCTCCCTCCCCTTGCCTCTCTTGCCTACCCATCGTGAGGACAGCGTGCTTGAAATGGTTGATGCCTTGTTGTACTTAGCGGCGCCGCAGGGGATGATTCAGTGCTCGTCTCCCAGGCACTGGCTGCAGGTCGGGGGGGGCTTTAAGCCTCCCCCGCAAGGGTGTTGGCTTCAGCCCAGGCTGGGGATAGGACTGGGCTGTGCCAACGCTCCCACTGGCACCAACCCTGCAGGGGCCTGGCAGGGCCCCTCTGCTCAGGCATATTGGGGGTCAGAAAGGGATTTCCCCCCATGGTCAGATTGATACAGGCTAGGGGGAGGCTGCCTTCCTCTGTCCTGGGGCACAGCCTGGGCCTGGGATCCCTCGAGCGTCTATTAACCACCTTTTACAGCAGCTGGACATTGGCTGCCATGGTCCTGCTGCTTTCCCTGTGGCCGGTTCGGGTGCGATGTCTGGTCTACCGGGGTTGACGATCATTTTGCTAAGAGTTTAGATGCTGGATTTGTCTGGGCTGGTTTGGACGGGGCTGATCAGCTGTGGCCCCTGGAGGTCCCTTCCGGCCCCATGTGTCCTTGAATCTCTTCGTTTGTGCACCTCTAGGGTGGTGACCATTGGCGAGCTGGGAGTACAGGACCTGTTTCAGGATGCCGGTCATCATGTCCTGTCCTACCAAGCTGTAGGCTTGCAGCGCAGGTCCCAGACCAGCCGAAGCGGGTGCTGGATCCAGCATACAGGGGGTGGGTGGACTGTCGGCCCAATCCAGCCCCTGGACTTGTTCCCTGACCTGTGGAACTAGGTTATTCTGATGTGCCCTGCCTCCCCCGCATCCCACGCAAGCATCAGATGGAGGCAGTAGGGGCTGAGAGGCACTCACAAGGCCTCAGAAGGGGGAAAAGGAGAGATCAAAAACGGTCCCTCCCATCCCAAAAGATCATCCACGGATCCATTGGGCTCGCTGGCTCTGCGGTGCTGGGACAGAAGCCAAGAACACCCTGCTTGGCTCCAGGGGAGGCGTCCTCCGCCCCCCTAGACAGACGCATCCCTCAGGCTCTTTGTTAATCAAATCAAGGGCAAACGCCCAGAAATCAAACTGCTCGCAAAGCTGTCCGGGGGAACAGGGTTATTCAAATCCAGCCCGTGGAGAGGGGATATGGAAATGCAGGGCTGTTTGAAATCAAAAGGATTTGCTTTGTATCCGCTCAGGGTCTTGGCAGGGAGCTCAGAACTGTGGCTGGGGACCAGTCCCTCCCAGTATCGCCGGTCTACACCGAGCTGGGCTCTCTGCCCGTCTCAGGCTAACCCCCTGGACCAGATCAGGAGGGGCCAGTCTTCCGCAATGGGAGTACCAGAGCCAGCCCCGATCACGTCTGCAGCCTGGATTCTTCTCTCAGATCACAGGAGAAGAGAAGTGGGGCTGCAAGGGACCTCCAGCGCCGATCTAGGCCCCGGGACCAGTTTCAGTCTCTGGCTTATCTGAACCTACCAAGTTTTGCTGGCAGCATCTCACCCGTTACCGGCTAGCTCTATTCAGGCCTGCTGCCCACAACTGCCTGCGGTCTCTGTTAAATGGTGGTAACTCCAGGCCCCGTCTGCATTCTTCAGTATCTGTCCTATCAGACGACACGCGCCCATGCCCGCCAAGATCACGCAGCACCCCTCGTCACTCAGCACAAGGGTACACGCAGGAGGCACGACCACCACAAATCACAGCCTTCTGCAACCAGTCGAGTCCCACGGCCACCGTTTATCCCTAGAGCAAGCAAAATGCCACGCGAGCGGTACCCATACAGGTGCAATTCTGGAAACCTGCCGAATGGTTTTATGTCAATCGTTACGCTTCCGTGCCTCAGTTTCCCTTCTGACCTGTAAAACGGAGACAGTTGTGGGACCTGTTTCAGCTCCCAAAACAGATCTCGTACTCCCAACCCACTGCTCTAAAGGTGGGAGGAAGAGATTCAAGGTGCATCCTGGAAGGCTAGTCTGAAAAAACCCGCAATATTAACATCAATACCTGGGAGACTAAAGTGCCAAACTGTCCCGAAAAGTGCCATGATGTAGGACAAGGCAGCAACTGTTTTGAGCAAACTCAGCTCGCGATGGAGGCAGATCAACAAGAGAAACGAAGCTACGACCTGACGTCACCAGGATCCACTGCTTCCTCCTGGGACTACTCATCATGACAGCAGTCAAATGTGGATCTTGTATCGGCCGCCTCCGTCGCCTCCACTCAGTGATGACTCCCCTATTTGTGGGAAGGCTGTCATCCTCGCATTGAGAGGCTGCCATTGAAAATGGAGGTATAATCAAAGCCTCTTTGGAAAGTGTTTGGGGATCTTGACACAGCACCAGAGTCTACATTGGGCTACAGAGCAGCCTCCAGATGGGTCACCATCTCCATCATACGTGGGCAGGTCTAGAGCTGAAAGACTCCGATTTCCTATCTCCAGAGCCATTCAGTCCCCAACGTTTATTTGCCAAAGCCAAACATCAATGCCATCATGGGTCACCCTGTCTGCTAATTGCCTTGGTATTGAAACTCTCTAGCTGGTGCCCACAGGGGTGGGGAGATCAAGACAAGATCATTATAACGACCGACTGTTTCTTTCTAGCTACTGGCTCCTGAAGCAGGAAGAGCCGTTCACTCATTTGGGTAGGAACACGTTTATTTTAAAGAGGCCTGGGAAACGGCCAGGCTCTAAAATCAAAAACTCTTCCATTGGAGAGTTCAAACACCAGCTCACAAATGCATCAACATAAAAATAAGAACAGGTTGGAAGAGAGAGAGAAGTCAGGGCCTTGTTTCTGATGCTGCCATCCGAGTTTTCTTCCAAAAATACAGGGGAAGAAGAGATGCTCACAGCAGTCGGAGGTAGAGACCAACATTTAAAACTCACGTTTCAAGCTCCACTAGAAAAAGCCACCCACAGACCTGTCTGCTGTCTCTCAAACCACCTCTGGTTTGTTACTGTCGTCGAGTTTTTTCTGGACCATTCTCACCAACGACTCCGAATAATATGTCAGGAGAGAAAGCATCTCATTGTCATGGGGACCTTTGAGAGGAGGGAAGGGGCTCTCTGTAGCCGTGGCAACATCGACATGGGTTTTGACCCTTCGGGAATCCAGTTCGGTTTTCATCCAGCAGAAAGTGCTGGCGAGGAGGGGCTGGATCTGGAGCTGTTCGTCCTCAGTGGATTCTTTGGAATAAGCCACCTATAAAAAGAAGGCAGGGACTCGGGACACTGTACCCTCACATACCACGTGCCCCCCAAAAAGACATGTGCCCTGTTTTTGGGAAGAATAAAGGTGCTGGGGCCTGTTTTTGGCAGAATAAAGAAAAAAAAAGATTTTTCCCAAGTTATGTCCACAGACAGCAGGAGAAAGAACATGAAAACTGCCATGGACTGGGTAAGACTAAGGGTCCGCCTTGCCCAGTCTCCCGTGTCGCGCAGCAGCAGAGAGCGGAGCTGGAAGGGGGAGTGAACTGGGTCTGAGCAGGGTTTTTCCCCCCCTCTTCCTCTCTCCCTTGCAGCCTCCAAGTCCAGGAAGTTCTGATGCCGAGGCCGTGCCCCACGCTCAACAGCTCCCAATGCCCCTTTCCTCCAAGAATGTCTCCAATCCCTTTTTAAATCTGGCTAAACTCTGCTTCTCCCACACCTGGTGGCCACGAGCTCCCCACTTCATTCCACGCCGGGTGGAAATGAACGTCCTTGAGTTTGTTTTATACGGACCGTCTTCTACTTCCACGTTGTGACCCCTTGTTCTTGTCTGCTGAGACAGGCAAGAATCAATCCCTACCGACTTTCTCTTCCCCACTTTACATTTTGTAAACCCTTGTCCCGTCTCCCACCCTTTCTATACTGAACAGGCCAGGCCTCTTTAGCTGCTCCTCAAAGGGAAGCCCCTTCATAGCACTGATCATTCTTGTTGCCCTTCTCTGGACCTTCTCTATGCATTTAAAACAGTGGTTCTTCACCTTTCCATACTCCAGCCTCCCCCTTCGTTAGACTTCAGCCTCACTCTTCCCACTTCGAAAAATGCCAGCTCTTTGCTTTCACTTGTTTCTTGACTACAAAAAAAAAATCCTAGACTAATTCTTCCATTGCAAACAATTCAGCTAGCTCCTTCAGGGCAGGAGAGTTTGGACACTCTGGATTCCCATTGGAAATCTCTGGGTTTATCTTACAAATCATACGCAGGCATCTGCACACCTAGCAATGGGGTCTTACAAAAGTGCCCGTTAAAAAGCCAGAGCACACCTAGCAATGGGGTCTTACAAAAGTGCTTGTTAAAAAGCCAGCCCCGCCCCAAGTGCAGTGGGCACCCCAGCTTTCAATGGGAACTGAGTGCCTAACTCACTCAGCTGCTCCTGCAAATCCTACCTAGGTGCTTTTGCAGATCTGGACTGAGACTAGTCACAAACATGCGACTCTGCCCAGTGGAGATGTCCCAAAGCCATGCAGTTATCAGGGTGGGGACTGCAGCACACCCAGATTGAATGCAGTGGGACAGGGACATCAAAGCCGCTGCTTAGCCCCTTGCTCAAGACGGCAGTTTCAGCAGTGGGAGAGGAATGCAAGAACTGAGTGGGTGCTTGTTGCTAGATCACTGCAACTCCAGGCCTCTGTGGAGCAACCAGAGGGATGGCAGAGAGGCAGGTTGCCACAGACCTGCCTACAAGAAGATTCATAGTAGAACATAGGTATAGCAATGCCGAGATTGGCCCCGACCAGCGGGCAACTGTCTGTCCACTGATCACCACGTTCATAGGAAGGTACGGCTGGAAGGGACCTCAGGAGATCATCTGGTTCAGCCCTCTGCTTAGGGGAGGGTCATCCCTGCCTAAAACCAGCCCAGCTACTGTCTCCATAGAGCTGGTCATCTCTGAAGATTTCTAGTGGGGGCTAAACTATCATCTAGACATCACAAGTTGGGCTGGTCCACGTGAGGCCTCCCCAGTGTTGAACACAGTGGAAGAATCACTGCGAGTCACGGCCCTGTTAACACAACCCAGGATGTTGTTAGCTTTTTTTTTTTTTTTTTTTTGCAACAAAAGAGTGTACTGTTGGCTTGTGTTCAGCTAATGCTCCACTAGAGCTGTAATACCCCGGTCCTTCATCGCAGTACTGCAGCCCAGCCAGTCATTCCCCAAGCTGGACTTCATAGATTGTCGAGTCGGAAGGGACCACAATGGATCATTGTGTCCGACCCCCTGCCCCTGGCAGGAAAGAGGACCGAGGTCAGATGACCCCAGCCAGGTGACTATCTAGCCTCCTCTTGAAGACCCCCAAGCTAGGTGATAGCACCACCTCTCTTGGAAGCCCATTCCAGATCCTGGCCACCTTGACTGAAAAATTTCTTCCTAATATCTAACCTAAATCCGCTCTCAACTAGTTTACACCCGTTATTCCTAGTCGCTCCCTGGGGCGCCTTAGTAAACAGCGCTTCCCCTATTCCCTGTTGACCTCCCCTAATAAATGTATAGGTGGCCACAAGATCTCCCCTCACCCATCTCTTGTGAAGGCTGAAGAGATTCAGCTCTCTCAACCTCCCCCCATAGCGTCTATCACGAAGGCCACTAATCGTGCGAGTAGCCCTCCTCTGGACCCTCTCCAGATTCACCACGTCCCTCTTGAAGTGCGGCGCCCAAAACTGGACACAGTACTCCAACTGCGGCCTGACCAGTGCCGCATAGAGGGGGAGCATCGCCTCCTTTGTTCTATTAGTCACGCACCTGGTAATGCACGACAAGGTGTGATTGGCTTTGTTGATGGCCTCATTACACTGCCGGCTCATGTTCATCTTGGAGTCAATTATGACTCCAAGATCCCTCTCTGCCTCCGAGCTGCTGAGAAGGACACTCCCCAACCTATAGGTGTGCTGGGTGTTCCTCCTTCCCAGGTGGAGTACCTTACATTTATCTTTATTAAATTGCATCCTATTTCTCTCTGCCCATTGATCCAACCTGTCCAGGTCGGCCTGAATCTGCTCCCTGCCCTCCGGTGTACTAACTCTGCCCCATAACTTGGTATCATCAGGGAACTTGGAAAGGGTGCTCTCCACGCCCTAGTCCAAATCTGTTTTGTGCAGGCTGTGATGCCATTTCGCCTCTGTACTAATCTACAAATGATAGCAACCGGCCACCAGGAATTCAACAAGAGCAACAGGTCTAGCAATAGTATTTGTGATGACAAGGGCAAAAAAAATGGGTCATGTCTGACGACTTATTGTTGGTCTATCTAACTAGTTGATCTTCCCTCTTACCTTGTCATAAAGCTGCAGTGTCTCCTGGAATTTTGCATGCAAGCTTCTGATGAGGCGCTGTGTTTCTAAGAGGGAAAAAAAAAAAAAAAAAGAGATGGATTAACTTGGGATGTTCGGTTCTCACAGCTGGAACCTTCGGAGACAACAACAAAAAAAAAGCTTTCACCAAGCAGCTGCATTGTACAAACTGTGGTGGCTGGTTTCACTTGAAGGCAAATACTTTAAAACGACAGTGCAGAAGAAAATGTACTGTCAAAGAGAAGAAGAAAACGACAAGCCACCACTACGTATTTCTGCTGATTTCCTGGCAGGTTTCTGGACCACAAAGTCAAAATCAGAATAAGTCTACCATGCAAAAGGAAGACCCATACAGAAATGGAAGAAGCAAGGCAGAGAGCTAATGAACTGCTGAAGGAAAACTATTTTCTGTAAGGATTTTGGCAATAAAAGTATTGTTTCTATTGGAGGCGTATCTGTGATGCATCTGGCATTGAGACGAGCAAAGCTAGTACAAAGGGACACTAAGGATTAAAAAAACAAAACAAACCTCACCAGACTTTGGGTTTATCTTGGATCGCACTGTACAAGACATCAAAAACAAACCCAGTTACACAACCAGCTTGGGTGGCAATTAATGCTAATTAAACCTGATTGGAGGGAGTGGACGTTTTCTTGGATACTTCACAGGTACTTAAAGTGATCAAGGGGCTTAAGTCTCTAGGATCCCAGAACAAGAGGCCTTGTCCTGGGAGAAATCTATCATCTGCTTTACCCTTATGAGAAGATCTTTCTAAAGAGAGACGAGCAAACCGCACCATCTTGTGGAAGTCACAAGGCAAGGCAAGAGCAACTAAAAAACGATCCTGGCTATTTGAATCACAGCACGCTGCTGTTTGAAGCGATATCAGCTTTCAAAAGCGTTTAAATCTCATTGGTGTCCATGGGATTTAGGCGCCTTGAAAAAAAAATATGGAAGCAGGTGCTTTTGGATTCCCAAAGGTGAATTAATGGAACTTTTTAAAGGTCTGTATCACAGCGTTCCTCCAACATGGAGAGAGACGACAAATCACAGTTCTCTGGAAGAAGCCAGAGAAGAGTTGCACCTTATAGACTAACCGAATCTGACATGCATCAGCTTTTGTAAGCAACAGCTCCACTTGGAAGAGAGCTCACAGTTCTTTAGAAGCGAATTACAGACAGACTTAGATCACCCACAGCTCTTTGCCGCGGAGAGGCATGACTCATCTCACCTCCAGTCAGTCTCTTACCCGATGTGTTGTACGTCTTTGACTTTGGGTTTTCTATCATCTCTGGGGGCTTTTCTTCTGGTGGCTTCTAAAAGGAAAATTCATAGAAATGTTGGAAACCAGGTCTGACCAGAGATCCTAACTTGCTACACAATTTGGAGGCCACGTTGGGTTGACTGAAGACCACAGAAGCCACAAATTCAACTCAGTTCTTACGAGGCTCCCTAACTTTCGTTCAACTGGTATTCAATAGCCAAGCATAACTATAACCATCTTACCAGAAGACCCAGAAGGTTTAATGTTGGGGTGTCCGACTCATCCAGTCCTGCCAGGCCAGATCCAGGCAGAGCAGCAGCAGGACAAGTGGCGTTAGCAGTGGGGGTGTGCACAGCCATTGCTCCCCGCCTCGCATTCCCAATGGGGGTCCACGCCCCAAACCTGCCCCCGGCATTCCCAGCTCCCCTATGAGCCCCATGGGCCACATGGACATGGTCACGTTGGCTGGATCTTACCCATGGTCATAAGTTTGACACCTCTGGTTTAACATATTTAACTTGAGTCCATTAGGTTTCCTGCTAAGAGCCCTGTACTTCCCACAGCACAATCCTGACGTAATACAGCTATTTCTCTATCTTTGGATCCTTACAGAATCAGAGAGAAGTAAGGCTAAAGGGACCTCTGGAGCTCATCTACTCAAACCCTTGCTTGAGGCAGGATCACCTCTATCCCAACCATCCCAGACAAGTCCTTGTCTAACATATTCCTAAAAAAAGACATGCCAACCCCACTGCCCAGCCATAAGGCGTGTTGCCCAAAGACCCCACAGTGCAGCAGGTGGATGAGGGCTGTCAGTGTCCCATTGCTACAAGGCTTGTTTAAATGCACTTGAGAGACACTAGGAAGATGGCCACCCCCAAACACAGGAGGCAACTACTGCCGCCCCCGCTCCCTTCCCCATGCGCACCACAGAGTAAGATTCCTTCCTGGTCCGCTGGGTGGAGGGACAAGACCCTCTAGCCGGGAACCTCCAGGTTTCAGTCCCAGCAGGAGCACTGGCACAGCCCAGTCACAATCCCCTGCCTTGAGTGCAGCCAACACGCAAATGAACCAACCTGCCAACTGCTTTCCAGGCTCAAGCCTTCACAGCCAGCCTGTGTAATGTCTGGGTGTATGGTCACTAGAAGCGGGCTAAAAGTACCTGTTCTGTCACATCTTTCCCCTGAAGCAATAAAGCCCTATTTCTCAGTCACCGGTCTGTAGAAAAAAGGAGTCTCTTTAGAGGAGACAAAGGTACCTCTGGTTTCTTGGACTCGCCAGGTAATTTATTCTTTTCGTTGCCGTGGTCTTGTGCTTCAGTGCTACTCTGAAATGGCGGGCGTGGCCTTGGAAGAAAGGCAGCGGCAAATCTGCATGCAGATACAGGAGCCTCAGTCAAATGCATGTTATCAGCCAGACCAAGAGAATCTTTCCAACAGACCAGGTGTTTTTAACATGGGAAAGCACGTTAACAGGCCAGGGGACAAAGGTTTGTCTGCTTCCAAACGTGACAATCTTCTGTTAGAACATAAGAACTGTCGTGCACTGGGTCAGACCAGGTCCGTCACACCCCGTCTGTGTCGCACCACAGCAGAGCGGATGCTCGATGGGAGAGCTGGGGATGACGATGCTTTCTTCCCCACTGTTCCTCTCTCCCTTGCAGCCTGTAGCACTTAAGGCCCAGGAAATTCCGATTCTGAGGCTGTACCCCTAACTCCTGTGCTCAACAGGCATTGATGCCCCGTTCCTCCAAGAATGTGTCCAATCCCTTTGTGAATCTGGCTAAACTCTCCGCTTCCCCCAGTATTACACAGTAAGGGTGGCAGCGAACTCCACCCTTTCGTTCCATGCGGAGCGAAAAAGAACTTCCTCGTGTTTGTTTCAGTTCCATGCTACGACCCCTAGTTCTTGTATTGCGAGAGACCGTCAATAATAGAGTCCTCTTTACTTTCTCTTTGCCATTTAGTATGTTATAAATCCTTCATATTTTGTAAACCCTTTGTGAACCTGTTCCAATGGACAACAGCTAAGCTCAAAGTTTCTCCTGGAGTCCACATGTGTTACTTTGTGGACCTCACCTTGTACTTGAGAGCTTGAAGGAGATATTAGTTCTACCCTCCATCTGCAATACCAAAGCATCTAATGGATTTCATAGAATCACAGAAAATGAGGGTAGGAAGGGACCTCCGGGGGTCACATCTACTCCAACCCCCTGCTCCAAGCAGGACCAGCCCCAACTACATCATCCCAGCCAGGCCTTTATCTACCTGGGTCTTCAAAGCCTCCAAGGATGGAGAGTTCACAACCTCTCTGGGGAGCCTGCTCCAGTGTTTCACCACCCTCCTAGTGAGAAACTTTTTGCTAATATCCAACCTCAACTTCCCTTGCTGTGTCTGGATCCCTTTGCTCCTTGTTCTGTCATCTGTTCCCAGCTCCATCCTCTTTGCAACCCCCCTGCAGGGAGGTGAAGGCTGCCATCAAACCCCGCCTCAGTCTGCTCTTCTCTAGACTAAATCAGCCCAGTTCCCTCAGCCTCTCCTCACCAGTCATTTAAAGCGGACTAGCCATACCGAGAGTCAAGGAGACCTTGTTCCTCTAAATCACTTAAACAAGTTTGAAAATCTCCCCCACGACCACTATTTCACCACCCTGACTTCCATTTGAAAACTCCTGTGAATACACTTTCCAAGGACTCAAAAATACCATCGTGAAATGAAATGAAACTGGGCATTCAGAACGCTCTGTCAGGCAAGATAAAGTCCCTATTCCAAGAAATCTGAAGCCTGAGTCAGGCACTTTAAACACTCAAGGTGATTATCACACTATAAATATGGTCTACTGCAGTGGTGGCCAACTCATGGCGTGGTCAGCCTGTGTGTGGGGCATACAGCAGACCGGGCAGGGAGCAGAAAGCGCAGCGGATCAGGTGGGGGAAGGGGATCGGAGTGGCATTTGTAGAGGGTGCGAGACTAATCTGTAGCCAAAAGGCTTGGCCCCCATTGCCCTAACTGGGACAGAGTATTACTAAGGGGACGTGCATATACAAAGGTACCCCAAGGTAAGCGAGTGAGCAGACACACAGTAAGGTAGTTATTCTGAGGCAAATGCCTACGGGCGGTGGTTTCCAGCCTTGTTAGACTCACGGTCCTGCCCTCAGAAAATGCCAGCATTTAGCTTTTGCTTGGTTCCAGCCCTAAACTTCTGTGAATCTGTGGTTTTTGACTAAGAAAAAATTCGTAGAGCCATTCTGTCACACAGAACTCAGCAAGCCCACAGAAAGGCAGAATGGTTTGGAAATGCTGATTTTCTAGCTGAAATCTCTGGGTTTATCTTGCAAATCATGCAGAGGCATTCGAATATCTAACAGAGTTAATATTGCGCGGTGCCCTTCAAAGGATCAGATAGCACCTTGGTTAAGAATCACTGGCTTACACACACACTTCAGCCCTGTGGTAGATGTCACGGAGCTTGCACACCAGCGCAAGTGGGGTACAGCTGATGCAAACTTCACACCTTCCTACCTACCTCACAGTAGCTCGGTTTGTGTGATCGCACCCCCAGCCCCCTCCAGCATGGTATTTTGGGGCTGAGAAAGCCTGCCCGCCCCCACCTATTTTTCTGGCAGCGTGAAAGAAATCTTGCAGAAATGCTCAAGCGTGGATTCAAGAAGAAGTCCTTCTCCTCATCCCTTTCTTCAGGCGGCTTCAGATCTTTCAAGCAGCCATCAAATTTTTCTGTGGCAAAAAAAAGAAAAAAAGACAGCACTGTTTAGTCAAGAGTTCCTGACTCAAAAAGCATCCAAGCCAGCACACAGGTTGGGAGAAGGGGGATAGATGGTTGTGATGAAAAGAAGTGTTAGACATATTAAAACCATGGCTGACAGGGCTTTACAGCCATTAGCCAGTTAATCCTCATGCTACAAAATTAAAAATGAGCCTTGACGACACACAGAAAGCTAGATTAAGACTTTACAGTGATCTTTTCCTCAAAAAAATACACCTTGAATGCATTCAGCAATGATTTTTGGGGGTGATCTCTTATTGGACCACACATTCATTCCAAAAGAATGGAAAATGATGACAAAGGAAAAGTTCTAAGAACTGGGAGGCCATCTGGCTTAACAGGTAGAGCACTGCATTGGGATCCAGGAGAGAGATCCAGTCCTGGATCCAAGATTAAATCAGCAAGCTGCTTCCCTCCATATGTGCCTCAGTTCTCCCCCCCAATAAAATGGGTATAATGATCCCAATCTTCACAGTAAAGGGCTTTGAGATACGCCAATGAAAAAAACAGTCCCTAGTACTGACATAGATCTTAGAAGAGAAATGTAAACGCGTTGGATGATGACTGCAAAGATTTGCATTCCAGAAGAGAAATCATATGCAGCACAGCTATTGCCTGGATGCTAGGGGGAGTCACCCCTTCAGGATCATAACTGCCTATGTGCAGGACGCTGAATAAGCCCCAACTCTGGAGCTGGATGCTTTAATGCCACACTCTATCAGACTGGCTTTAAGGACAGTTCAATACATGGGTGTGATGATGCACCACAGTGCTGACAACCTCCTCATGTGTGCAACACACCCGTGCACCCAGGATGAGGACCTGGCAAGCACCAACGATACAGCAGTTGTGTGGCTCCACCACATTAATGAGGTGTAAAGGGGGAAACAAAGTATACGAGAGACAGCAAGCAAGTGCAAACTCCAATGCAGGCAAATACAAGTGTTTCACGAACAAAGCAATTCAGCAAGCTACTTCCAGAGGTGATATTCCCCCAAAAACCCCACAACCAGGCAGTTAATCCAGGCCGTAGCAATACATTATCTTCCCGGGATGCGTGCACCAGCTGCACTGGTTTGAAATTTGTTCTGCTGTTTGTTTCTGCTGCGTTTGAGGAAACAGGGCTCTGTTCACAAGAGAAAAATACATACGCCAACGAGACACCGCTAAGAGCACTGTTGTTATAAGTCAGCTGTTACTCATTGAAAACCTAATAAGGCTCCACAAGGCAAACCACTGCCGTTGCCGCTTTTAATCTTCATGATTTATTTGCATCGAAGCGTTACCTTCTGCTGGGGGGTCCGTCAATGTCTCAAAATGATGCTTGAGGTACTTTTCTTGTTCGGGGGTTTGGGGCAGAGAGACATTTCGTTGGGAATTCTCATCCACGTCCATTGTTTCTACTTCCACCTCCGCGTCCCCGTCTGAGACCGCAGACTCTACGGTGACATTGCATGTGCCAAGGAAAAAAGAAAGAGGTGAGCTGCTGAGGTGCACCAAATCAGAGCAACACAGACAATATTTATATTTGCTTCTAGACGCTGAGCCAAAGCATTTCATCACATCTTTAAGTAGCCCCTAACTCTGTGGTTCTCAGGCTCGTTAGATTCAAGATCCCGCTCAGAAAACGCCAGCTTTTAGTTTCCACTCTGTTTTTGACTACAGAAAAATACCAGAGCGATTCTCCGGCTGCAAAGAACTCAGCAAGCCCACAACAGGTTAGAATGCTTTTGGGGGGATGGATTTGCATGGGAGATCTCTGGATTTCTCTTGAGAATCGTGTGGAGCGGTTTGCACACCTACTTTGGTACCCTTAAAAGGTTCTCGCAGCGCCCCAGCTGAGAATCACTGCTTGTTCTGGTCACAGACTTAGCTACACACAAGATGCCAGTGTTTTACTGGATAGAGCTCACCCCATAAAAAACCAATTGTAAATACATAGCCAGTTGTCACAGTTTAACAAAAGATTGTTTGAGCCCTTGTCTCCTGTTTGATTTCCCATGTCTGTATTTTAGCCTTCCAAAGGGCGGCAAAGCCATTGTGTTTTCCTCGTTACCTTCTTGCTGCAGATCAAAAGTAGAGGCTTCAGAATCCAATGAAACTACGGAGGAAGCTTTATCTTTGCTGCCCTCCTTCTGATAAATGGGCTGAAGAGGCAACTCTTTTAAACTTGTCCTTGGGAGGAAAAGGAAAAGCAAACAGTTAGCCACACAGATGGAAGGAAAAGTAGCAGAGGGACGGGATAGGGCAACAAGCAGCAACTACTGGCAATTAACTTTGTCTCTTTCCTCTTCACCTATCTGTCTGATAGATACAGCAGGGGGAAAAGAACTGGCCCATGGTGGAAGCAGGTCTACCAGAGTCTTCTGATATGAAGCTGAATTTATCATCGATTTATTCAGACCCACCCACCAGCCCTGGTTTGATGCTCTCTGACCCACCTGGTACCTTCAAGAAGCCACATTAATAAATAGCTATCTGCCCTACTTGGACTGTAGAAGAACTGAATATTAAATAATGACAAGTGACGGAGGCGAGGGTAGCTACCTCCATGGCATATCAATATACAGGGGGACTACACTCAAAGAAAGGGATCTCAGGAGATGGTATCTAGCCCAACCCTCTGCTCAAGGCAGGATCAGTCCTGTCTAAACTATCCCAGGCAAATCTTTGTCTAACCTGCTCTTAAAAGCTACCAAGGATGGAGATGCCACCTCTCCTGCACTGAACCGCCCTCACAGCAAGAGAGTTCCTCTCAGTCTCCACCCTCAACTCCACTTGCTCCAGTTTAAGCCTGTTGCTCTTTTCCCAACCCATGTGGCCACAGAGAATAGTCTATCACCATCCTCTTTATAAACCACCTTTTGAGTATTTGAAGACTTATCATATCCCTCCCCCCAGTCGTCTCTTCTTCAGACTAAATAACCCTACCTCTTTCTGCCTTTCCCGTCGTGTTTCTCAGACCTCCAATCATTTTTGTTGCCTTTCCCTGGTTTCTTCCTTGAAGTACAAGTCCCAAAACTGGACACAGTTCTTCAGATGAGGCCTCACCAGCACCAAATAAAGTGAAGAATCACTTCCCTTCAGTGCCAGATGAAGTGATCCCTACCAGTGCTTTGGGAAAGGTAATTCTATATCCCACCCCACTGCCCAATAAGATCTATTTGTTAGGAAGTCCTGAACCCTGCTCACTCTTTTTTGTTATACTGGGGGTGTCACCGCACCATTCTTCATGATCCTCTGCTCCCAGAAGCAGTTCAGTCTAAATCACAACGATTAGCATGACAGAAGCGGATTGCGAGGGATGGTTTCAAGGGAGATAAGATGCACAGGCCAGGGATCACCCCCCATGCTAATAAAGTGACCCCAGGAAAAAGCAAGGGTCGCAGGCCAGGACTCAGTTTCCCTGCTCTGTTGGACAAAAGATCCTTCTCTCAGAGCAAAGGGCAAGACTACAGACGCTGGACCCTGACCTGTATAAAGCCCCCAAGACAGAGGGATGGGAGATTGGAATTTGCTTCAACCATGAGGACGGATTCAGAGAGCCCCGGGGCCTCGCCACCCAGCAGGGAGTATGTCTGTGTATTCTCTGCTGTATGTGGTTGCTTTGGTAATGCTGCCCAATTGTATAGTCTGGAGGAACTTGCTTTAGCTTCTCTTGTACTTCTCCAGATAAAATAAAAGCCCCCAGAAACATCCTTTCACGTAACATGGGCCGACAATGCGAGGTCATGGTTGGCAGGGCTAACCGGACCTTGTCGTGCATCCACAGGTGCATCTCGAGTAGAGCCAGGGAGGTGATCCTCCCCCTCTATGCGACGCTGGTCAGGCCGCAGCTGGAGTATTGTGTCCAGTTCTGTGCGCCCCATTTCAGGAGGGATGTGGACAACATGGAGAGGGTCCAGAGGAGGCCACCCGCATGATCCGGGGACAACAGGGCAGACCCTACAGTGAGAGACTACGGGACCTGAACCTATTCAGCCTCCACAAGAGAAGGCTGAGGGGGGACCTGGTGGCCGTCTATAAACTCACTAGGGGGAACCAGAAGGGTTTGGGGGAGACGCTGTTTCCCCTAGCCCCCGCTGGCATAACAAGGAGTAATGGGCACAAGTTGATGGAGAGGAGGTACAGATTGGACATCCGAAAAAACTACTTCACAGTTAGGGCGGCTAGGAGCTGGAACCAACTTCCAAGGGAGGTGGTGCTGGCCCCTACCCTGGGGATCTTTAAGAAGAGGCTGGATACCTACCTGGCTGGACTCATTTGAGTCCCGTTTTTGTTTTTAGGGTTTGTTTTTTGTTGTTGTTGTTCTCCCGCCCTGGCGGGGGGTCGGGCTAGAAGATCTATTAGGTCCCTTCCGACCCTAAAACTATGAAACAGATTAGTCCCACTTTAGAAATCTGATTGGGGACCTTGATACAACGCTACATATAAGGTTTTAATTTTAATAAGCCGATACACACACATTTCATCACTTTTTTCCTTTTTTAACATAGCAAAACTCACCGGTCACCCTCCAAGAAGCTGTCCCCAGCCTGCATGGAGCATGTGCTGTTTTCAGTACTTTCGAGAGATTCGACCTCCTGATTGGCATCATCCTCCAGAAAGATATCCGAGGGTTTGAAGTTGTCAATGATGTTGCTTGGGGAATTCTCTGTCTGCAATAAATACAAAGCCACGTTTCTCCCGGAACAGAGTTTTCAAGCTGTCTGATGAGCTGCAGCTGGATGTGGTTCTTTATGCAAGGTTGTGAGTGCCCAAAGATTAGATCATTGGGGACCAGACTTTTTGCCCCATGAGCTGGATGGGTGGTGCTATATCTATCCACAGGCCAGATCGGGCACATGGACTCTATCTGGTGGGCATGGCAGGGCATGATCCAGACATGGTGGGGACTGGGAACATGGCCTGGTCCTGATCCAGCCATGGGGCGGGGGGTGGGGGAAGGGAACAGTGCCGAGCCCTGATCCAGCTGCACAAGGCATTGGACTTTGGCACCAGGGGTGGGACAGCAGTACTGACTGCCCTTGTTCCCCACTGCTGTATTTCTGAACCCATGGGCCAAATGCCATGGCTCCTGGGGCCGCAGATTAGACTGACCAGTAAGCAGCAAGCACAATTGACAAGTGACAGTTGCTGAGGTTTAAAACTAATCCCGAACCCCACGTCTTTGTGCCCTCCTTGTGAAGGTCAAAAACATCCAAGCTCTGAAGTGCAAGTCGCTGACCTGCAGGAGCAACGAGTCCAGATTCTTCGGTTCCAGCTCGGTGTCACCCACGAAGCTGTTTTTTATGGGGGTGAAGTAATCTGCATCCAGGAGGGTTTTAATCGGGTCTTTCTCGGCCCGTTCAGCCCATCGGCCTTGCGGCTGGTAATCCACCCGGGGCAGGTATGTCATGCTGTCCAAGTTATCGGTCTCTCCCAGCTAGGGAAGAAGGTTTTAAGAATATAAGTAGTGCCATGCTGGAGTCAAACCAAATGGTCCATCTAGCCCACTACCCTGACAGCAACAACAGCAAGGAGGAGATGTTTTATTTTGCCCCATGGGGAGCCAGCCATTCTGCCAGCCAGATCCGGCCAGTGGGCCCAATCCGGCCAAGTGGAGGTGGGCAGCCTGGCCCGAGAAGGAACATGGCAAGTCAGCAGCTCTTACTTGCAAGAGAAACAACACACACAGGGTCTTAACCCAGCCCCTTCATACAGCAACAAGTTCTCCAACTTACCAGTCTCTTTGCCCACATTGGCAGTTTGCCATTGGTCAGTATGAAAACAGGAGCTGGAAAGCAAAACCGGACGAGGCATTAAATCATTATTTATGACAAAGCCATGAAGCATCCGCTGCAGGGAAGGGAACAAAGCGTCCAGTAAAATCCAGACCTCCAGACTTCAGATCCTGCGACCTAAATACAGGATTGTACTTGACTCAGTACATCCCTGTGTGGTTAGGGAGAGCTTTATACTATTTTCCCACCAGGCAAACTGGCAAGGATCTGAAGAGAGGCTTGGAGTGAGAGTAGGGAGGCAGAAAGGCAGGTCATAGGATCACAGGAAAGTAGGGCTGGAAGGGACCTCAGGACATCTAGCCTAGCTCCATGCTCTAGGCAGGACCAGCCCTGACTAAGCCATCCCCAGCATCTGCTCTTGAAGGAGATTCCACCACCTCTCTGGGTATAATTGTAAATGGGCCAGGTCCTATTTCGCCACAGTCCGGGCTGTCCAGCTTCAGAGCATCCAAGGCTGTGAGCTGTGCTGACCCCTCCCTGCTCCCCTGCCCCAGTCTCCACAAGCTGTCCTGTGCTGTCCCTGGGGGCTGGGAAGGGAAGTTGGAAGAGAAAAGGGGAGCCCGACAGCCAACGTCCTGCTTATATAAAAGGTTGTAGCATACACTCGAGAAATCCCAGATAGAGACCATGCCCGTTACAGAGGAAGGCAACCCCCCCCACAGTCCATACTAGTGTGATTAGGGGGTAAAATCCCTTCCTACCCCAATGTAGTGCTGAACTAGCCTAAGCAGAGGGGCAAGACCCTCTAGCCAGGACCCTGAAGGGCTGTTCCCAAGCAGGAGCATTGGCATAACCCAGCCCCCAGCCCCAACCTGGGCTGCAGCCAGCACCCAGTGCCTCTGTGGCACGCTTAAAGACACCCTGACACACGAGGCAGAAAAGAGGGAAATTCCCTCCCAGCCCCACACAGAAGCCAGCAAAGCCATGGAGCAGGGGTCAGCAACCTTTTGCCCCCAGGAGCTGCTGCTTGTGACCCAACCCTTGCCATAGGCTACAAATCTCCACGTACCTCCCCCCACCCCAGTGATCAGCAGATGATGTGCAGGGAATAGATGGAACGAGGCAGGAGGCAGGACCCCAGAGACAGCCTCTCCGCTGTCTCAGCTCCAGCCTGCTGCATTCCCAGAGCTGCCAAGGGCTGGATCCAGGAGGCTGTGGGGACCTGAGCTAGAGCGTGCCTGTATCCGAGTCGTCTTTGGCAGGGGTCTGCAGAGCGGACCCTTCTTCCTGCTCATCGGTTTCATCGTCAGCATTCGGGGGAGACCTCATTCCACTGGGTACGGCCACGTACGTCTTCCGCCTGAGGGTTGCAAACGTACAGTAGTTACCAGCACCCTTGCTTCATGCTGCCTCCTTCCTCATTGCACCCACATGTAACTTCATAGCCAAAAATGTTAAAGAAAAATAATCGAAGAGGATATATGGGACAGATCCAGGATTTGACAAAATGGGGTGCGGGAGCAGGCACCTATGCTGAGGGCTGCCAGCTGCATCCTGGATCGGGCCACTGGAGTCTCTGGGGACTTCTTTAAAGTCCCCCAAGCAGGTAGGACTCCCCCGCTCCCTTCCCTTCCATGCTCAAAGGTGCACCCGTCCCCACCCCCTCCTGCCTGCCACTGCTGCTTTCCCCTCTGGCTTGGGGAAGGGGGAAGCTCCAAAGCCTGCTGCAGCTGGGCTGTGCAGAGGCTGGGCTCAGCAGCAATGGGTGGGAGGGGAGGGGTTCTTTCTCCCCAGGCCTGCTCTTGGGGGAACCCCCCACCCTGCCCACTGCCGTTCCCAGCAGCCTGACTGAAGAGGGCAAGAGCAGCTTTGAAGCTTCCCCCACTCTGGGACAGCAAGGAAAGCAGCCATGGCAGTTGTGGGGTGGGGGCACTGTTGAGCAAGGAGGGGAAGGGTAGTGGGGGGGATTCTTATGTGCTACCACGGTGTGGTCCAGTCCAGGAGGGGGGTGTAGCCATGCCACTGCACCCCTGTCTGAATCTGCCCCTGAGAAGGCCTCTATGCCTAGCCCCAAAATACCAATCAGAGCCCAGCTAAATCAGGCAGGCAGGAGGCACACTCTCTTAGCTCTCAAGCATTCAGAAGTCCCTGCCTGGATTCCTGCAGCCCTGATGCTATGACTGGCCAGTATGTGGGCCAAGGCTGCTGTTCTCAATGTTTGGTATTATGTGTCTGGTTCTGGGCAGCTAACGAATACACCTTTCCTCCCGTCTGGCAGCTCCCCTGGCTGGATCCAAGCAGGTTGGCAGCCGTAGCAACAGCAGAGCTTGTGGCTGAATGATGGCAGGGGACCAAAAGCCCTAGGCTCCCTCCTAGCTCTTCCATTTAGCACCAATGCCCCATCCCACACCTATCACAAATTGCTTAGATAACGCCCTGCCCCTCAGTTATTCCAGAAGCCCAGACACCCTCTAGTATATGCCTCATCTACCTCAGCTCAGTTACTGTATTCTCTTGCATACAAAACACATACCTTCCCCCCACCTCAACACACAGCCGCTGGAAACTGGGCTGCACGTGATATCCAAGGAAATGCAGTAACAGAGTGGGAGTCAAAGGCAACTGGATACAATCCACTCCCCCAGTCTGGCTACAGAAACTGCTGTGCCTCAGCTGGATAAGCCTCAAGTCACTCTGCTCAAGAAAGCCTTGACTTGATCATCCTCAGTTTTACAGTTAAGTGGTGGCCACCTCCATGTCCTCCTTCCACAGCCACTTGAAGAAGGGTATAGACTTTAAAGTGGAAGATTATGCCCATGTGCAAGTGTGCACTCATGCAAATGAGTTCATCGCCCAATTTGCATAAAACAAACACGCAGCTGCACAAAACTCAGTGACTATTACAGTTAACGAAAGCCTGCTCCCATACCTGATTTGGTTAAAACAGTTTAGACCCCGTGCTTTTTTCTGCCGCTGCGTCTCATCAAGTTCGATCAAATGCTGGTTCATAGAGTTTGTAATCTCCGGGCCAAGTAGCCAAATAAACACGCAGCTGGAAAGGGGGAGAACAATTAACCTCCTTTGAATCTCAGCAAAGGAATCTTTCAATTCCTAGTAAAGACTAGCCAACAGTATTCTAGTCCAGCTAGCTAAAGACATCCAGAATCATTTTATGAGTATAAAATACACCTTGTGCTAGGCCAAAAAGTCTTTTCTCAACTGCCAGAGCCAGCAGGAAAAAAACCATCCCAAAACACCCATCAAGAGAAAAACTAGACTCAAAGAGCAGGTGTTTCTCACCACACCTGCTTACAATCAAAATCAATGCCAAGCAGGCAGATCCAATCTAACTCCCAGCGAAGTTAAACTTGGACCTATAATATTCCACTGACAATGCTCCATTAGTAGCAGAAGTAGCCAGAACTGCAGCATTGACAAAGTGTTGTTAGCCTCCATCAAGGGATCTACCCCTACTGGGGTAACCGCCCAGCAGCTGGAAAAACCTGCCCCCAGTCTCAGCAGTCATGGTGCAAGACGCTGTTTAGGGTGATGAATTGTGTGTCTCCAGTTATCCGTAGCGCACACATGCACAGCCCAGTAAAATGTTGATGGGAACCTGGTCAGTCAAGAGATTCTTCCACACTTCTGTTCTTCCCCACCCTCTCTCTCCCCTTGTGTGAGTGAAGGAGGTCTGTTACAGCAGAGCTAGGTGCAATATACCCAGCTGCCCTGGCTTAGCATTTTCTTTTTGGAAGTATCCCCTAAAGCAACAGTACTCAGCCTTTTGGTGCCATGGGCTGAGTGGCAGGAGGCTGTTGCACAGGTCCCAAGTGTGCACCACGTGCCAGAAGCAGGCTCCATTCTGCTTCCCGTGGCCCCATGCTCCCAGCTGGATTGGACCCTGTGCCAGAAAACAGGGCCCCACACTGCAGGATCGGGTCAAGCACTGCCATGAGCCGGGCCTGATGCATTGATCTAGCGTGCTACCTGGCCAGTGGGTCCCTACGGTTCCAGAAATTTGGCAGTAGGGGTGTGGCAAGCGCTCTCACTGCTCCCCCATCCCCAAGTTTTCGGACCCAGGGGAACCCTTATGGGCCACATGGCAGGGCTCCACGGGTCAAGGGTTGAGAACCTCTGCTCTAAGGCACAGGTACTCAGAACTCCAAGGCACTTCACTAGTCTGGAAATTCGGTAGCAGGGGAGCAGTGGCAATTAATAATGCCACCACTTCCCCCACTGCTAAAATTTCCAAGCCTCACAGGCCAGATAAGGTGATTCTGTGTGCAGGACTGGGGCAGGAGCCTGGTATGTGGGGACTGATCAGGGCTGAGGACTGACTTTGCACCACTCATCTGGCCCTTGGGCACCACTGCTTTAAAAGAACATAGAGCCTTCCAAGAATAGCTCTTACTGAGGTACAAACATACCTGTCTCCTGAGACGGTGATCAAGTGTTTGCAATCATAAGTGAACTTCATCCCAGTGACAATTTCTGTAACAGAGAAAGGCAGGTCTCAGGTTCAAAAAAGCCACTATATCAGGTAGTAAGTTGTCAATACTATTCAAGAGCATTTGAAGAAGTTAATAAAAGGCAAATTCTTGCCTTACTTAATGAGTGGACTGATGATTTCTCTTTCGCATGGAACTCTCCTTTATTTTAGCATTTTGGACTATATTCTATACAGTAATAACAGTAACATAAAAGGAAGCACGGTAACGTGGTCTCTCCAATTAGACCATACATGCCATGCACCAATGCAACAAATTTATACCCGGGGAGGGGATTAATTAAAAATGATTTAACCCAATTGGAGTATCTTTGAACGGAGGACAATGAAAACGGAGAGTCCAGCGGAGGGCAACAAAACTGCCTGTGGGGCTGGGGGACATGACTGGGGAGGAGAGGCTGAGGGAACTGGGCTGATTTAGTCTGCGGAAGAGAAGACAGAGGGGGACTGAATAGCAGCCTTCAGCTCCCTGCAGGGGGGTTGCAAAGAGGATGCAGCTGGGCTGTCTCAGTGGGGGCAGATGACAGGACAAGGAGCAAGGCTCAAGTTGCAGCAAGGGAAGTTGAGGTTGGATATTAGGAAAAACTCACGAGGAAGCACTGGACCAGGTTACCTAAACAGGTGGTGGAGTCTCCATCCTGGGAGGTTTTTAAGTCCCAGCTTGACAAAGCCTTGGCTGGGATGGTGTAGTTGGGGCTGGTCCTACTTTGAGCAGGGGGTTGGACTAGATTTGACCTCCTGAGGTTCCTTTCAACACTCATTTTCTATGAACAAAGACTGTGCATCTCACTGGAAAGGCTCTAATTAAGTTCCCAGCTCCTACTGGTAACATCGTCTCTTCCTATATAATCAGATTACTGCATGCAAGCAAACTCCAAATATTATACAGCAAAATAAAAGCAGGACACTGACATATTGGAACCTGTTACATTAATTTAAACAGGACTAAGTAAATGTGTTAGAAAAAGCTGCATGTTTGGAGTTTAGCAATAAGAATATTCTAGAGGAAGTAAGCTATATAAATGTGATTAGGTTCAACTGAGATGATGTCATGCCAACCTTCTATTTTAAATGTCTTTGCCGTTGTTTCTTAATTATTAATTAAATTAATCACTCTGGTACATGACTGCATCTAAAAAATTTCACCTGGGTTAAAATACTGCTTTGGGGAATTTACAAAATTTAGTATAATTTATATATCCTTTATGTTGGTAGTTTTCAAATCCCAGCTGAAGTGACTAAAAGCCAAGTGATTCATACCACTGATACCGTTCCTGAGCTAAGCACATCTAATCATGAGACCGGAGGGAGGGACTCGAACCTGAATGTCCATACATCTTGGCCACACAGTCACCGGACTGGAAATCAATAATCGAGATACTCTTATCAGAGCAGCTTGTTGCTAAGAAAGTTCCCAAGGGATCCAGCTGCACCTGTAGAAAAATGAATCAATACAGGCCATTAGACATGCACAAATATATCTGCCTATTTACAAGGATGAGAAACTGCCTGATGTCTCCCCCAACACCCCCCCAAAAATCTAGAAGGCACAGGGTAAGTCACCAAGAATTAGAAACCTCCAGAAATTTCCGTCATGAACACAACCCCGTTGTGTTTTGAGGATTCACAGCATGTCCTGGATGCTTTCTTGTATTTTGCTGCATTGGTGCGTGGCATGTATGGTCTCACTGGAGAAACCACATTACCCTGCGTCCATTTATGTTACTCTTATCACTGTACAGATTATGTGCGCTTTCTGTATACCCTTATGGGTTTGGATAGGATTCACTCAAGGAAGGGGAGTGGGTTTCCAACAATTTCCACTATGGCATTTGTCCCCTCTGCTGGTCCACTATAACCCATCTTGGATCAATTTCTGAACAAGCTGCAAAACCCACCGCTTCCCTCCCACCAGGCCACGCCACATATGGACTTCTGAAAACCACAGAAAATTCAGGCTGGAAGGGACCTCAGGAGGTCACGTCTAGTCCAACCGCCTCCTCAAAGCAGGACCAGCCCCAACTACATCATCCGACCCAAGGCTTTGTCTAGCAGCGTTTTAAACACCTCCAAGGGTTCATATCATTCATAGCTTCACAACGCTGGGAGAGAATTCCCATCATCCCTCGCAGAGCACGATCCATTTCCCCAGCTCACAAGTCTCGACAGGACGAGATGGCAATGCCTCCAAGCTGGATCGTGCTGCTTTAAAAAGGAGATGCTACACTGTCTGTCTTTGTATTGCTGGTTTGCATATTAGAATCGTGTCCCCAGGACAAGTTTGAAGGTGGCATATACAATACCATAACAGTTAATCCCTTACCTTCAGGAGCGACCCATCATCGCTTTGAGAACCTTTGTAACAGCACTTCTGCTTTCCACTTGCAGTATGGTACACCCTGAAGGAAAGTCATTGTGGATTGTAACTGGCACACAGGTGCTGTCAGACAGTAGTTTTACTAAGAGGCTAGATGATGGATTTGTATAGGATGGTTGGGTAGGGCTGATCCTGCCTCAGGCAGGGGGCTGGATTAGATGTGACCTCTGGAGGTCTCTTCCAGACCCACTTCTCTACACGTCTATGCTTTCTGATCACTTGTTCCAGACTAGGCTGCACCAAGGCTCCTGCTGGGCCTCGAACCCAGAGGGTCCCAACTAGAGGGTTTGGCCCCTCTGCTCAGTCAGATTGACTGTCATATCTAGGGCCAGGGAGGAATTTTACCCCATGGTCAGACTGGTATGGACTGGAGTGGGGGGGGGTTGCCTTCTTCTAGCAGGAGCCATGGCCTCTTCCTGGGAACTCTTGAGCTTCCATTAACAACCTTTTATAGCAGCAGGATGTTGGCTGCCCAGGCAGGTGTGATGTCTCCCTGCTTTCCCTGTGGCAGGTATGATGTCTTGTGGTTTTGTGAGGGTTGACTGCATAGTTTTGCTAAGAGGTTAGACAATGGATTTGTCTGGGATAGTTTGGACAGGGACGATCCTGCCTCAGGCAGGAGGTTGGAACAGACTCATTCACCTGACGTTTCTATCCTGACAGGCTACAGCAACATATTTCTCGGTTATATCGACATCCATGTCATACAGGGTGTTTTTCTCGGCAACGTGATGAGTTCTGACAAAATTAATCCCATCCGCCACCTGTGGTAACAAGGAGGTGAAACCGAGACGCTCATTTAGTAGGGACACAACCTCTTCCGCTTTCCTCCCCGTGACTCTGGATTGATTCCATCTGTTTACAAGCACCATTTTTAGAAACCCTCCCACAGATCTTGGGCAACACACTGGCTGAACTCCAGGTAACCCAATAAATCCAAAATAGCCGAGAGCAACTAGAAACAACGTCTTAGGCCAGTGGTGTTCAACTCTCCGGCTCCAGGGGACAGGAGAGCAGTGCAGGGACAGTCTGGGGGTCTGATCCTCCATGGGATTGGTCTGTGGGTGTGATCTGGTGTGCCAGCACAACCCTGTGCACTGGATCTGGTCAATGTAGCTAATGTGATCTGGGTCATGGGACTCTCTGCAAGTCTGGGCACCTGGCAGCAGGGGAGCAGTGGCAGCAATTAATCCTGCTTCCACACCCCACCACATTTATGGACCCGTGGAGGCCTGGATGACACTGCTCCATGGGCCAAATCTGATCCACAGGCCACAGGTTGAGCAACACTGTCTTCGACTTTAACAATTTATTAATAAATTGATTTGGGGGTGATTTTCCAAATTACAGTATAGCTTCAAACTGACCCACATGATTTTGCTAGAGAACCCCTTTCTCCAAGAACACTCTCTTACTTTTTGTGCACTGCGGAAATAAATGCTTTTGTCAGCCCCACAGCTTATTAGCTGTACTTCTCCGTTACCTAGAAAAGAATGAAGGGAAAATGAAGATATCAGGAGACCTCAGCGCTTACTTTCAGCTGGCAGGGGGGCTCACTGCACTGGTCCCTTTGGAAGAAGGAAATAAAAGGGAAGAAAACTAGAATCTTTTTAAAAACATAACACTTAAAAACCCCAATGCCAGATAGTGGGTAATAACAGATGTCAAGTTTATCCTGGGTCTGACTGTCTCCATGTATCAGAATAAGCATGGAAATTTGCAACTTGAACAGCAAATAACTTGAATTAGCTCCGATTGTCCCAGGAAAAACAAAAACAAAAAAAGGTATCTCAGATATTTCACAGGCACTTCAAGTGGGACAAGAACAGGAGAAGCTGTCGTTCTGTAGGATTCCAGGATGTCCGTCTGTAGGGTCCCAGAATAATAAGCTTTGTCCCAGGAGAAACCTGACATCTGTTTTTCGCCAGTGCCAGCTGATCTAGGTCGTCATAGCCCTACAGAAGTCAACACAGCAAGTTTATACTTGTATCTGGCCACTGCTCTTCAGTAATAGAGTTATAAGAATGCATGGCAAAAATAGTTGGGAGCCTAAATAAGCAGCAAATCTATATGGAACATGTCCTTCAATTAAGGCAGCGATCAAAGTTGGTTGATAAGCCAGCCTGTAGCAAACAAGTTAAATCGACTGAGCAGAAAAAAGGGTTGCCTTTTAAATGGGGGGGTGGGGGTGGGGGGGTGGAAATACTACAAAAAGTAAAGAAATCTTTTTAATGCCTTCCTCAGGATGGCATCAGGATGGTAGGATGGGATGACGACTTAACATGAGCAGCCACAAATGTACAAGGTGACCAAGGTCAATCACACAGATGCTATGCTGAAATGTATCCTCATGAGCATAGAGGTAATTAGCTGTGTTAATTTGAAGTCAGTCTAATTAAATACGACATTAAATCAAACTTTATAGACTAAGACCTATATAATTAAATAAGACATAAGATAGGTCTTAGTCTGTAAAGGTGCACTTCAACCCCATGAATATATGATTTCCACTTTCGCACCGAGAATTATCAAAGAAAATAGAAGAGGAATCTCGAAAGCCGACTTGGAGCTTGGAAACTTACCGGCAAATTTTACAGCTGTTATGGCTGATGAGTGATCATCTAGAGTTTGCTCCAGTCTGTAATATTTATCTACATTTAGCACGTGAATCAGCCGATCTCTGCTGGCGGAAGCCAGGAGCGCCATTCCTAGAGGTATTCAAAGACATCATTCTCCTCACCGTTTTTTTAAAAGCCACACCCACTTTATAGGTCACAGCTCGGGCTGCCAACCCTCCAGGACTGCCCCGGCATCTCCGGGAATTGGATATAAATCTCCAGGGGATGCCGAGAGTCACCTAGAGATAACTCATAGGGCATTCATTAAAATTAATATTAAACATTGAATCCGATTTATACCAGTGGGTTTTTTAAATGTAATAGTCATGCGCCTTCCTGACAAGGTCTATGCGCTGTAATCCATAACTGACACATGGAAGCACGTGGGCACATTGGCGCTGTGGGCACGCTGGTGTTCCGGAAACCTCCCAGAATAAATTAAAAGAGAGTTGGCAACCCTAGCCATAGCTAAAAAGTTACTATGCAAAAAGACCTTTAGACAGAAAAAAAGAGCTTATGAGTAAAATAAGTTACTGCATGTGCATCTCTTCCCATTAAATATATTAAGAAAGATGCTGTGTAAAAGTAGAAAAATGTGGTCCCCAACTGCATCCCCCCAACACCAAAAAAGGAAAAAAAAGAGAAGTAGAAAATTATCTTGTAGCTTATAAAATCAAAGCTGTGGAATGTAAAATCACTGAAATAAGAGTCAAATGAAAATCAAAATAATAAAAGCGTATCTTTGAGAGGTGCGTCTTATACAATATATGCCAGAAAACATTATATTTAAAATAAGAACTCATCAACAGAAAACAATTGCAACAGAATTAACATTTCACATCATTTCTAAAATTATGTGTAGCTTAGAATGGAAAAAGCACAAATAGCCTTCAATGATATTTTTAGCAGCATCTGTGTGTTCAGTTGGGATTCTGTCATCTTCCCCCCACCCAATTACACTTTAGAATCAGTTTTCAAAAAAGAAAGACTCTCTTACCAGTTTCTGGTTTGGAATACTCCAAGCAGAGAACTTCCGAATCATGGGCTTCTACTTTAACCACTTCATGCATAAATTGTAGCTCATGTATCCTACGACGGAAAGGCACAGTTAAAAGTCTTCTGAACTAAAGCCAGCAATGCTCCTATGCATTTGCCAAGTAGACCCATGGAGGCAACAGAGAGATATACCAGGGCTAGAAATCCGCCTTAAAGAACTCATCTATTTACATGGCTCATCAAAAAGGGAAACGAACATTGTAAATCAAGTCACCTAGAGTGCAGAGAGAAGAGTGTCGGTTGCCAAAGGGCTCATTAAGCCAGTGAACTTAGCAGGAACTAATTGCTGGGAACTGAAATCAGGCAAGTTCAAACCTAGAAATTAGGCTTCTTGTTTACAGAGAAGGAAATTAACCATTGGAATAAGTCCTGTGGGAAATAATGGAGCCTTTGTTCCTTGATGTAGAATCATACAAAAGGAGGGTTGGAAAGGGCCTCTGGAGGTCACATCTAGTCCAACCCCCTGCTCAACGCAGGACCAGACAACCACATCATCCCAGCCAAGGATCTGACTACCTGGGACTCAAAAACCTCCTAGGATGGAGACCCCACCACCTCTCTGAGGAGCCTGCTCGAGCACTTCACCACCCTCCTCGTGAGAAAGTTTTTCCTAATATCCAACCTCAACTTCCCCTGCTGCAACTTGAGCCCATTGCTCCTTGTCCTGTCATCTGCCCCCTCTGAGAACAGCGGGGGGCAGATGACAGAATAGAGACTGCATTTGAATAGACACTAGACTCCTTATTCCAGAAAGCAAGGACTTTGCAACTGGGGTGCCTCACAGAGCCAGAAATTCAAGGCAAGGTATAAAAATCATAGCCCTGGCAACTGCCCATTCAAAATCCATTGGGCTGCCCGAGACACAGCACCAGGTAGTGCAGGTATTTAACAATACACCACAAGTTTTTTGCCACTCGAGGGTTAGAGGATGCTGTTCCAACCCCCGACATGAGATGCCTTGTCCTCTATTAGGACTGGAGGCTATATCTATTTCCGTTGCTGGAAAAGTTAGTATTTTCAGGTCAAACTGATGTCACCATCTTGGGGTTATATACTGCTGGCTATCATCCTGGTGTCTAAGTACCTACCACGTAAAAATCAGCCATCGTCTTAGTGGGAATTTTTTTTGATTCATTGGTTTTCTTTTTCAGGATCAAAACACTGCTTGCGGGGTAACTGAGGTAGAAGGGAAGCAGCAAAGATTATCATTCTTAGTGTGGAAAGGCTTTATGTCTAGAACCTGTTGAATTTGATGATCAATAACTCATGACTAACAGGACTCTTAATGGCACTGAATCAAGAGTGACACTGCTAAAAACGTTCTGCTTCCTGCTGCCTGTTCAACATGCAACACCAATCAGTGATACTTACCTCAAGTTGCCTCCTCGGTCACCTGAAGCCAAGTGCTGGCCGTCGGGGCTGACCTGCATCACACGAACACCCGATTTCACATCAAGGTAGCCTGCATTTTCGCCCCGGTCGGGCACATTGGTTGGGTCTTGCAGATGCTGAGTGTTGTTGTCCACATAGATCACTTTCAGCAAGGTCTTTAAAAGGTGAAGGGGGTGGGGAGGCAGAGAGAGCAGGCTGCATAATTACTATAATAAAAATACCAAAACATGCAATGACAGTCCTTGGAAAAAACAAGGATTTTAGAGTTTCCCCGGCTAGACTGGAAGGTGTGGGACCCTTTATCTCAAGTTAGAGATTAGGAAGAACTTGATGATGAAGGTGATCAAGCACTGGAACAAGTTGTGGAATCATCATCCCCAGAAATAATTTCCAAGAGCAGGCTAGACAGGTACTTGACCGAGAGGGTTTAGTCAGGGCTGATCCTGCCCTACACAGGGGACACATGAGGTACCACACGAGGTACCTTCCAGCCCCATTTTCCTGTGATCCTAAGAGTCAACATTGAGAGACCTCAAGGCATGTAATAAAAATGACTCCATCAAGGAACGCATAAGTGAAATCCTAGTTCAAGGCTTCTGAAATCACCCCCCTGTATTTTCATGGTGCTTGTCAAACAGGAATACCAACCTCCCGCAGGCATCAAGAAACAGAAATTGTGCCTATTCCAAAAGTCCATGAAGCACAGAAGAGAAGGTGAAGACTTCCAGCCTTATTTGTAACTTCTAACTCATCAACCCAAGGAGGCAAAAATCTATTATATGCTCTTGCTTCATCTGAACCAGAGAAGGAAACAGGGACTGTTTCTATAGTCAGACAATCAGTAATGATTCCCCTCTATTCAGCACTGGGGAGGCCACATCTGGAGTCCCGTGTCCAGTTTTGGGCCCCCCACTGCAGAAAGGATGGGGACAAATTCAAGAAAGTTCAGCGGAGGGCAATGTGCATGGTTCAGGGGCGGGGGGACAGGACTGGTGAGGAGAGGCTGAGGGAACTGGGCTGATTGAGTCTGCAGAAGAGAAGACCGAGGGGGATTGAATAGCAAGCTTCTCCTCCCTGCAGGGGGGTTGCAAAGAGGATGGAGCTGGCCTGGTCTCATTGGGGTCAGACGACAGGACAAGGAGCAATGGGCTCAAGTTGCAGCAAGGGAGGTTTAAGTTGGATATTAGGAAAAACTCTCTCACGAGGAGGGCAGTGAAGCACTGGAACAGGTTACCTAGAGAGGTGGAGGAGTCTCCAACCTTGGTGGTTTTTAAGATCCAGGTAGACAAAGCTTGGCTGGGAAGATGGAGTTGGGGCTGGTCCTCCTTTGAGCAGGGGGCAGGACTAGATGTAACCTCTGGAGGTCCCTTCAACCCTTGTTTTGTACAATCATCAGGAAACCCAGGTTCTTTAGATACCCATTTAAAACAAGGCTCTTAAATTCGACTGAAAATTAAGAAGTAATTCATCCTGGGTCAGACAATACTAAGTTTAAAAGGCAAAGATATATGAATTAGTGTCTCGGCAAGAGGAAGGGACTGCTGAAGAATGGTATCGAAACTTCTACCACTGCCCCACTTTCCTGGCCAAAAAGTTCTTCCCAGCCATCCCAGAGCCCTGGACAAAAGGGAAACATTAGACTCTCTCTAACATTAACTACGTTTTCCTGTTTCTCACAGTCTTTACGACTCATATGTTACAGATTTACTGGCTTCAGCCACCAGCATTTGTTAACAAAAGAGAGCTCTGATGCTTACATCACTGTAGATGTTCTTCTGGAAGTCAGATCTTGTGCCGTTTTCCAAGTTCCAAATTCGAATGGTGTTATCCGATGAGCACGTCAGAAAAGATCCCGGAGGCAAACAGGATTGGTGATCCTCCAACTCGGGGTAAACCTACGCATTGCCACCACAAAAAGAGGGGTTGAGTGCGCACAGCGAGATGAACCTTCATTTAATATTCTAAAACTGTCAGTCTCAACCAGGATCCAAACCCTCTGGTTGGTCTTGTTGTGGGCTTTCTAAGCTCTTTGCAGGTGAAGGACTGCACTAGTATTTTGCTGGAGTAAAAAAAAAAAAATATATATATATATATATATATATACACACAAGTGACAGCAAAGAGCTGACATATTCCAAGGGGGGATTAGAGTCTGAGTCTAACTCCAGAGCACCCTTAAAAGGATCTCATGGCACCAGGGTGTTGTGGCACCGTGGTTGAGAATCACTGGGATGGAGAGTACATTAAAGCTTTCACATAGCAGAGGACTTCCATCTTACCTCGATGTTCCACACAAAGGAACTGTGGAAGAGGTCCGACCACACTTTCCCCACTTTGCTGGTGTCTTTGACATCCCAGACATATACGCTGTGGTCTTTGTATACGCAAGACAGCCACTGATTGCGTGGGTCGAATGCCAAGGCGATGGCATCTGGACAGACAGAATCCGGCCGTCTTACAGGAAGAGTTGGAGAAAGAGTTGTTCTTTAAAGGCACCATAAAATCTGCTGTTTTAGTTTGCAACTTCTGCTCCCAATATACCCAGACTCCACCCCTCTCAGAGCCTGTCAGATCCCTTTAAACATACATAGTCCATATAGAATTTTTGTACCTTGGTTCTGGTTCTTTGGCTACATCAGCACCCAAGTAATGCGGCTTGGGTAGGTCGGTGAGATAGTGCATGTTATGGGAATGAAAGATCCTCACGGTGCCATTGGCACAGCCACAAAAGATAAACTTCTCACTAACGCAGATGCAGTTTGCTTGCGAAACCTGAAGCAAGGAGTACCCACACACAATGGATACAATTTTAAACACACCAGGCATGGTACTTAGTTATCTAATACCGTATGTCACACACCTCCAAATAAAACACATTATGCTTTGGCTGATTGTTCCAGTCACAGCCAAAAAACTGGCTGCAGCTCACTCGCCCTCAGCCAACTCACTGGCTGCTTCCAGCAAGTTAGTTTTAACATTCTCACAGCCACTGCCAAATTGACAGCAGCTTTTGGCTGTTCATAAAATCATAGAAAATGAGGGTTGAAGGGACCTCAGAGGTCACATCTAGTCCAAGCCCTGCTCAGAGCAGGACCAGCCCCAACTAGATCATCCCAGCCACGGCTTTGTCAAATTGGGTCTTCAAAACCTCCAAGGATGGAGAATCCACCTTTCTAGGTAGTCTGTTCCTGTGCTTTACTATCCTCCTTGTCAGAAAGGTGTTTCTTATATTTAACCTCAACTTCCCTTGCTGCAGCCTGAGCCCATTGCTCCTTGTCCTGTCATCTGCCCCCACTGAGAGCAGTCCAGCTCTATTTGGAATCACCCTTCAAAGAGCTGAAGGCTGCTATCAAATCATCCTTCATTGCCATCAAATACTACAGAAGCTGGGAGTTCAGCCAGATGCAAAAAGTGGTTGGACACATTCTTGGAGGAAAGGGGTACTGAGGGCTCTTGGGCATGGGAGTGGGGGGCATGGACTCCAAATGAGAGCTTCCTAGACCTTTAATGCTGGAGGCTGAAAGCAGGAGAGAAACAATACGTATTGCTGACAAGAACCAAGGTGTCAGAAACCAAACAGAAGAGTTTTACCCCCACAGTTCAACCTCTCACCTTCAAATCAATCCATTTTTCCAACATGCGCTTCTCATTGAATTGACAAAGGAGCCCTGAGTATGAAACACAAAAAGTATTGCCCAGCATCTTCCCCTGGCCACAGGCCACGCCGCAAAAGATGTTATTGTGAAGTTCACCCAGAAGGCCAGAGCGACCAACCAGAGGCACGGTCTCCTTGATCTGTAATTACACATAATGCAATGGTATTAGATGCAGTCAGTGCACTTTAATTACTAATGGACTGATGATTTGAAGGAGGGGGTGTCAAGCCTACAGCCCACAGTCCAGGGAATTTGGGGGTATGGCTAGTGGGGGAGCGGGCAGGGACTGCCACAGAATCTGGGACCTCACTGAAGGTGGCTGCTTGCCCACAGATCTGGCCTGTGAGGAGCTCCATGCTCCCGATCCAACCTGGGCACAGGGCAAGTGTGACACCCCCGATTCTGGTATTTCACATGCACTAAGCAAACTTCATAGCAGCCCTAGGGGGCAAGTCATTACATTCTCTTCAGCAGCCGGGAAAGCAGTAGGGTCTCTCCTATACTTTCTAGAATTGTGTAGGTCTGCAACCGTCAGAGGCAAACAACACGTTCAGGATGATTAAGGGAACTGTGAACAAAACTGAAAGCATCATGATGCCTCTTTATAAATCCATGGTGCATCCATACTTTGAATACCGTGCCCAGTTCTGGTCCCTGCACCAAAGGGATATAAAGACTCAAGCTCTAAAGAAGGGCAACAAGGATGATGGGTGCTACGGAGGGGCTTCCCTAGGAGGAAAGACTAAACTGAGGAGGCCTGGCCTTTTCAGAAGAGAGATGTTTGAGGGGGAACAAGACAAGGGTTTACAACATACTAAAGGGACAAAGAGGAAGTCAACAGAGATTTATTCTTGGCTGTCTCTCACCAGACAAGAACGAGGGGTCATGGCATGAAACGAGCAGGCTGGCAGTTTAAAACGAACACAAGGACATTCTTTTCTACCCAGTGTGGAATGGAAGTGTGGAGCTCGTGGCCACCAGATGTGAGGGAAGCTGAGAGTTTAGCCAAATTCACAAGGGAACTGGAGACATTCTTGAGGGAAAGGGTCAAGTGTAGCTACTGAGCATAGGAGTGAGGGAGACAACCCCTGAATAAGAACTTTCTAGACCTTAAATATCAGAGGCTGCACGTGAAAGGGAAACAGTGGGAAAAAACCCTGCTCATGTTAACCAAATCAAATTTTTGCCTATTGCTTTTAATCTTATGTATTTTCTTGAGTTTTGCATTGCCTTAAGAAACTCCATTTTGTATTGCTCTGTAGCTTGACATAAGTGCTCGACCTCTGTATGCTGTGTGTGTGAGAGAGAATGGGCGAGAGTGTGTCTGTGGAAAAGGAAAACATCAGCCGGCAACTGGCTGAAGAACGCAGACAGATAAATGACCAAAACAAGAAGAATCCACCCCAGAACAGCGAGAGAAGAACGGCAATCGACCTTCGAGGAAGAACACAGTGATAACCCAGAGGACTGGGTGAATTGACAAGGCTATAAAAGATGGGGCGAACGTATCGATTTTGGGTCTTGTTCTGCGTGTCATCCTGGAACATCGGTTCGTCTGACGAGATGGACCGGCAGGAGCCCGGCTCTTACTTGTGATCAACTTGGCTGGCTAGTAAGTCAATCCAAGCACTGATAAGACTGGTAACGTATACCAGCGCTGAACAGAAATTGGGGTATGAATGTGGGGTGTGTGCATTAAGCGCTTACTCAATAAACGCGGCATCTAGCCTTATCCTCCCCTCATAAGGTCTCGCTCGTGATTTAAGCAATTAGCAATCTGTGTAACTCAGACCCAGTTCGCTCTCCCTTTTGGCATCTGCTCTCTGCCACTGAGTGACACGGGAGATTGGGCAAGATGGACCTGTGGTCTGACCCAGTGACAGTTCTTACGTACCAAATAACTCTGCCCTGCCATTAACGTACTGCTTCCTGGCCCCTTTCATCCAAATTCAAAACAAGGCTCACCTTCACTTCTCTTGGCGCGTCCAAAAACCAGAATTTAACATGGCGGTGGCCAACGGTGACGAAGTAGCTGTCCTCCGAAAAGGATATTGCCATGACCTTGCAAGAAACTTTGTTTGAGGCGAGTAGAGAGTCTTTCTGCGAGGAAGACAAAAAGACTGAAATGATTCATAAGGCAACAGATCTAGGACCTGAAATGTGGAAGTTAAGCTCGAGTTTTCCATGAACAATGGGGATTTGGACATCACGCTTATGCCCGAGAGCCTGACATCAAATCCCACCAGGTGACTCAATTAACATCAGTCAAAGTCATGGAAAAGTTGACGGTAGTCTCAGTAGTCGGATCTAGTACAACCCCTTCTCAAGTAGGATCAGCCCTCCTAAACCCAAGTGTCTGTCTAATCCAGGGGTGCTCAACCTCTGCCCTGTGGATCAAGTGTGGCCTACAGAGCCTTAGAATCCAGTTCTATCAGAGAAATGGGTGGAAATACAGAACTGTATTAAACTGCTCGCCACCAAGGCAGAGGAGGGGGCAGCCTGGAACTTGCCTCGACCATGAGGATGGATTCTGAGAGCCCCGAGACCTCCCCACCCAGCAGGGAGTACGTCTATATACTCTCTGCTGGATGTGGCTGCTCTTGGTAACGTTGCCTGATTGCTAACATCCTGATGAACTGTCGTATCATTCAGAGGAACTTGCTTTGGCTTCTCTTGTGCTTCTCTGGATAAAATAAAAGCTGTTCCCGAAACATTCCAGGTGTAACAGAGCTACTGCAACCTCTACATCTTCCCAAACAAACCACATCTTGCAGGGCCTGCCAGCATTACCCAAGGGATGCATAATGTTGGATGTTGGCAGGAGATCCCCGGGAGAAACGAATTCTCCCCCGCGTCTGCAGCGACTCACCCTCCAGTCCCACACATTGACGGTCATGTCGTGCTGATAGCCCACTGACACAATGTACTTCATGTTGGGGGAAAAAGCCACGCAAGCCACGCCCTGTTTGTGCCCCTGCAGCTCCGATACTTGGGTCTTCTCCTCAACATCCCAAACTCGGACTGCCGGCCTGTGCCCGTTCTGCAAAGAGAATTCAAGTGGCGGCACGCTGGCACATCTTATGCAAAACAGAAGCACTGTCACGCTAGATCAGGGATGTCAAACTCACTCCACCCCCCACCAAAGCACAGAATCCGCACGACAGGGATTAAGGCACCACTCTGCCCCCTGCTGCTGACAGACAGCCCCAACAGGGCTCCACACCCTGGATTTTGGTGTCAGGCCCCACCCCACTTGACTCACCCCGTAACTCTTGGCCTCCCTGGCAGCCCTGCAGGCCAGACAACACAGCTCTGTGGGTCAGATCTGGCCTGTGGGCCATGTTTGACACCCCTGCATTAGATCAACCCAACGGGCCATCTAGCTTAGGATCCTTCTGCCTCTTTGTTCTGTTCTTAAATGTTAGAAATACTGTATTTTCTCATACAATATATACACCATATTTTTGAAAGGCAGAATGAAAGGGAAAAAGAGACTTTTCCAGAGTTCTGGGTGCACAGAACAGGGACACAGCCTAACCCTCACCCCCCTTTCCTGCTTAGCTAAAGCTGAAACCCTAGCTACTGCTGAAGACTGATCTCCCTGGGTGAAGCTAGAGTCTCCTGGGCCATGAAATAGGAGGAGACACAGCAAAGTTGCCAAAAGAAAGGTTAGTTAACTAGGAACATCAAGACCATTAAGAAAGAGAATGATTGTTAACACATATAGAGTGAAGAACAATAAGTCAACTGACTCCTCCAGCTGCCTGAATAGCAATGCTAGAGCTGCTGCACTGTGGAGCAGGAATCAAAGCAGGAGGTTTCTGTCCTAGGCAGAAAAGGCAGCTTGTCTGTTTAATGCACGCACCCCTATTTAGGGGGGCTGATTTGGGAGGGAAAAGGTGCATGTGGTATGTGAGAACATAAAGTAAGCATTACCAGGTCAAATGGCCAGAGTTCAAGTAGTGTCCAGCCTGGAAAGGCTTCTTCAACCCAAAAAGGTACCAAACGGACATTGTTCCTAGTGTTACTATGGGAGCCAAGAAGTTACTCCCAGATTTCAGAGCATTTGGCCTTAGCCAAAAAAGCCGAAACTTCATTACCAACAGGACTACATTAATATACTTTAGTACAACTCACTTCACCAGTGACAATGAATTTTCCATCGGGCGAGAAAGACAGAGCACTGAGTGTCTTCCTGGAAGAGAGAGAGAACATCTTCAGATTACACTGAAATGTTATTCATAACATTTACACTAGTTTAACCACCCTCACAATTCCACTTGAACCACAGACAGTAGCTATGAGCAGTGTCGCTGGTCGTACATTTAATCCGGCTTGGAGCCGAATGAGAGATTGGAAAGGGAGACTGGAAAGAGTCCGGCAGAGAGCGACATAAATGATGAAAGGCCTGGGAAGCAAGACTGATGAGAAAAGGTTGAAAGAGCTCGGGTTACTGAGTCTGGAGAAGAGAAGACCGAGGTGGGATTTGATAACAGTCTTCACATCTCTGAAGGGCGACGACAGAGGATGGGGATGGGCTTTTCTCTGCGGCTGGAGAAAGGACTAGGAGCAACAGCCTCCAGCTGCAGCAGGTGGAACCGAGGTTGGTAATGAGGAGGAACTTTCTGACTCTGAGGGTAGTCGAGCATTGGGAGAGGCTACCTAGAAAAACTGTGACATCCATGGAGATTTTCCAGAGCAGGTTGGAGACGCACACGGCTGGGGTGGGTTAATCAGGGCTGATCCTGCTGGGAGGAGCGGGGTGGACTAGACGTCACTCCTGAGGTCCCTTCCAAGCCAACTTTCCTATGATCCTATAGGTCTCAGCAGCCCAACCCCCCCCGAAAAGCACATCTGGAGACCTATATGCTATCCACATGCCAGTAGATGAAGTATTTACAATACCTGGAAGTATTAAAGATGTGTCTTTGTTTATTCTTTTGGGGATTTAAAATCACAACCACACATCTGAAACGAAAAAAAAGCAGACAAGGCATTTGCATTCCTGAACATGCAGTTTGGTTCGTAGCGGTGGCGGCTGTTGAGGAGAAGCCGCCGTCAGAGTTTGGAAGAGTCAAGGGTTTGTTGCAGAGAGAAAAAAGCCACAAGCGAAAGCAAAGATCTGGCATTTTTGGAAGAGGGGCTCGAGTGTAACGGGCCTGAGAACCCCTGATTTAGGGGCTTACAGGTACTGCAATATCAGGTCAGATCCTAGGACGGGGTGGGCAAAATGGGGCCCGCCAAGCCAGTCTATCCAGCCCCCGAGGCCCCTAAAAAATTTAGAAATTTAATATTTTTCTGCCCCTGGCTGCCCGTCACGCGGCCCTCGATGGCTTGCCAAAACTCAGTAAGTGGCCCTCTGCCCAAAATAACTGCCCGCCCCGTGCTAGCAGGAGATCTAACTTCTAGGCCCACGAGCAACCTTTACTTACGCGAGCAGCCCTATGATGTTTGCCTCCACTGACAGCAAGGCGACCAGAGCGACCAAGCCTGCGAGGAATCGGGCAGGACGGTCCCAGCACGGGAGCTGCGCGCTGCACGACTCCAGCACAGCACGGTCCCGATTCGCAGCCTTGTGCAGGGCCGCGGGTTTCCCGGTTGCCGCGGGAAACGGCAGGTTTCCCCCGCCTGCAAGGGGCTACTTGGGAGCAGATCCCGCCGGCCCCGGCCCGCGGAGGGGCTACGCCCCACTCCGCCTTCCCCCAGCAGCCCACGGGGTGGGCGATCCCCCCGCGGTTGGGGTCGCAGGCCAAGCCGCTGCTGGTTTGCGCGGTTATGCCCAGCACCTTCTCCAGCATCACCTGCCCAGAGAGAGGGGCAGTGAAGCCCAGCACCCGGGCGAGGCACCCCTATCTCCACTGCCTGCTCAGCCCCCATCCTGGCAAAGCCCCGCCCCTTTTCACCAGCCCCACCCCTTAGTGGAAATAGCCCCGCCCCTACTTCGCGTAACCCCGCCCGTCCTGTGCCTCACCCAGCCCCACCTTTATCCCCCACTAGCCCCGCCCACCGCGCTCCCGTTA